GCCCCTCCGCCGCATCGGCTGTCTCCGAGATCCCCTCGCAGCGCCGAAGACGTCGTCCGCCCATCCGAGAACGTGACCGCGACCCCGTCCGCGCGCTCGCCAGTCAGCCACGACGCAGGCGTCCAGGCCAGGAATAGTGCCGGGATGCTCGGGTCCTCGTGCACGGCTTTCGTCCACAGCGGGCGGATCTCGGGTTCTGCTCCCGAGGACAGGGCGACTCGGAACAGCGATACCGATGCCGAGCTGGTGGCGATGGCCAGCAGCGTGGGATCTGTCGGGTGGAAGTGGAGGTCGAAGACTGCATGTGGCAGGGGGAGAGTTTGGATGCGGGTTCTAGTATCTTTGTTAGTTATTTACTTTATTTTATTTGTTTATCTTTTTTTTTTTTGTTGTTATATAGATGGTGGGTAGGGTTTAAGGGAGGGAAGGGATTAATTAGTAGTGGGGTAAAGCCTACAAAGTATTCGTCTCCGGGGTCACCTGCCATAGCTGCAGACTGCCTGTCTTCGTCTGGTGGACGGTGTCGTTGGCTTCATCTTTCGTCTCCGTGAGCAGGTATGTGCCTATGACGATGTGGTTGGGGGATGCGGGACAGGTCTGGAGACAACTGGGCGGTTGGTCGAGGTAGACCGTGGTGGCCGATTGAGGGGTTTGGGGGGGCATCTTGTTTTGTGAATATTGTATATTTGATGTCGGTATCTAATCGATATGCTCTATATTTAGCTGCATAGAAGAGAGTATGATTTAAAGTAGGTAATTCTATTTTTGTGGTGCTGTGGGTTTTGTGGGCGGTGAACTGTTTAATTTTTCTGTTCTTCTAGAATTTTTGTTAAACATTTACGAGAGAGAGATATATATAGAGATTGTTGACCATGATGGTTCTATGTCTATTCTATTCCATTAGTGATTGAACAATCAATGTCCTCTCTGCGAGTGTATACTTTAGAGATGCCATACTAGGTGATGTGTGACCACAATGGACAGGAGGTGAACAAGGAAAGAACTCATTTTAATCTATTATAAGTCGTCTAAATTGTCATCATCTACAACCGCGTGTACACTGTGTTGATGCCTCCCGTCGTAATCATCTTAATCGTCATGTAGTCGTCAACGCCATATTTGCTGCCCTCACGTCCCATACCGGAGTGCTTGACGCCGCCGAATCTAGAGCCGGTTAGTATGTGTTAATATTGTAGAAGTAAGCTAGACTCACGGTGCTGGGGCATCGGAAATGACACCAGTGTTGATCGCAACCATGCCGAACTCGAGTCTCTCCGAGACCCGGTGCGACCTGGGCAGGTCGCTCGTGATGAGATACGACGCCAATCCGACCTCGCAGTTGTTTGCGCGCCGGACGACTTCATCCTCGGTCTTGAACTTCATCAAGGCGGCCACCGGCCCGAAGGTCTCCTCCTTGGCCACCAGCATGGTATCGTTGGCATCGCCCAGGATGGTCAGCTCGTGGTAGTTCTTGCCCAGCGACGGCAGCCGGTTGCCACCCAGAAGAACCTTTGCGCCCTTGCTCACCGCATCCTGGATGTGCTCCTCCACCTTGGCCACGCCGTTGGTCAACGGCCCGTGGGTCACGGAGGCATCCTCCAGCCCGTTGCCCACCTTGAACTTGCTGACCTCCTCGACGAGCCGCTGCGCGAATCGCTCGTAGATGCCTTCTTGCACGAAGATGCGGTTGGCACACACGCAGGTCTGGCCCGTCACCTTGAACTTGCTGATGAGGGCGCTGGTGATGGCTGTCTCCACGTCGGCGTCGTTGAACACAATGAACGGAGCGTTGCCGCCAAGCTCCAGGCTCAGCTTCTTCAGCGTGCTGCTGGACTGCTTCATCAGCAGCTTGCCGACGCGGGTCGACCCCGTGAAGGAGATCTTCTTGATGATATCCGATTCGCACATGGCCAGGCCCAGCTGGGGTGTGTTGTTCAGCGCCGTCACAACGTTGAAGACACCCTTGGGGACGCCGGCGCGCTCCGCCACCACAGCCATGGCGTTCGACGCAAAGGGCGTCAGACCGTCCGACTTCATCACGACCGTGCATCCCGCGGCCAGGGCCGCCGCGACCTTGCGAGCGCCCATGGCCAGGGGGAAGTTCCACGGCACAATCAAGCCGCACACACCGACAGGCTCTTTGATCACTCGCGTGCGGCCGGCGGCGCTGCTGTGGGGGATGATATCACCGTAGATCCGGGGGGCCTCCTCTCCGAACCACTCGAAGAAGCTGGCCGCAAACATGACCTCGCCCTCGGCATCGCCCTTGGCCTTGCCGTTCTCGGCGGTGATGATCTTGCCAATGTCCTCCTTGTTCTCGACCAAGAGATCCGCGATGCGACGCAGGATCCGTCCACGCTGACGGCCTGGCACCGACCGCCAGGTGGGGAATGCTTGGGCGGCGGCCTCGATGGCCACGTTCAGGTCGTCCAGTGTTGATTCAGGGGCCACGCCAATCTGTGCTTCGCTTGCGGGGTTTGTGACCTTGAATGTGGCATTGGAGTTGGAGGACACCCATTGGCCGTTGATGTAGGAGCGCTCGACGAAGAGACTGGTGTCCTTCAAGATGGATGCGAATGATGATGATGATGCCATGGCGGGATGAATTCCTCTGTCAATCGCAATTGTTTCTGATTGCGACTTGTATTTTTCTGCAGTTTTGGTCGAGGGGGTTGTCCTGGGACTATATGTATAGCCCTCCATCGCGGCCTATACTCAAAACGGTAAGGGAAATGAGAGCTCGGCTGATCCGCAACCCTGGGGAAACAAAACCCGGGGGATCGGGAAGCCCTCCCGATTATCGATGCAATCCCGAGGGTATCGAACTTCAGATAGGGTTCAAGTGCCGTGTGCCCCCGTCGATCGGAACGGAGTTAAGATAATATTAACTTGACTTGATGACAGTTCTGTGGGGGTTCCCCCGCATGTCATGGAATCTTTCTAGGGTTACGGATATGTGATATGATCTGACTCGATGTTCTTGTCAGAACCAATGGAATCAGACTTGGTGTTGGTTGTATTAGAAATCCGTCGTGCCTAACTAACTAACTATGAATCATAGTCCCATTAATCATCCACTTCCCCGCATTTGGGCTTGTCATACAAAACCAGCGGGGACGGAGTAGTATATACCGGATTGGATTGATTTCAACAGTCACCTTCTGCTTTTCGCTGCCCCTTACTCCACCCAGTATTTTCGTGTAGATCGACAGACAAGCCATGTCTGCACCCTTCAGCCAAGTCCCCTCGACGGCGAGGATTACCCCACACCCCTTCACGGTGTCCGTTCCTCAGGAACAGCTTAGCGAGCTCCACACGTTGGTGAAGCTGTCCAAGATAGGCCCTCGGACATACGAGAATTCGCAGCCAGACGCCCGCTTCGGTATCACTTCCGAATGGCTGACTGGGATCCGAGAAAAGTGGCTGAATGACTTCGACTGGTATAATATCTTTCTCGACTGCATAGACTCAAAAAGTACCCACCCTCTTCAGAGTCGAGAGAACCTGACTCCCGCGTAGGAAAGCGTGCGAAGCCCGCATCAACGACTTCCCCCAATTCACCGCCGAGATCGAAGACGTCCAGCTGCATTTCGCGGCCCTCTTCTCGGAGAACCCTAATGCTGTGCCCATCGTGCTGCTCCATGGATGGCCTGGTATTGTACCTTCTCGATCTCTGATGTAGACTAGACTCACAGCCCGTCGCTCCTGCAGGCAGCTTCCTGGAATTCCTCCCCCTGCTGCAGCTGTTCCGCCGTGACTTCTCCCCTACCACCCTGCCGTATCATCTCGTCGTCCCCTCCCTGCCGGGCTATGGCTTCTCCTCGGGCCCCCCAGTGGACAGGAACTATACCACGCACGATGTCGCCCGAGTCATCGACAAGTTGATGAAGGGGCTGGGGTTCGAGAGCGGGTATATCGCCCAAGGAGGCGACATCGGCAGCCGGGTATCTAGGATCCTGGCCGTAGACCATGACAGCTGCAAAGGTTCGTGGTATCTGTAGACGTGTGGTCTTCCAAAACGAACACTAACGATTACACAGCGGTTCACTGTAAGTTTCTCCAGCACACCTAACAACCAGTAATACATGGAGACCAACTCGCGAAGTAAACTTCTGTGCGATAGCCACACCCCCACAGGGCGTATCGGACGTGGACCTCACTCCCTCCGAGAAAAAGGGACTGGGTCTCCGAGACGAATTCCTAACCTCGGGCATCGCCTATGCCCTCGAGCACGCCACGAGACCCAGTACCATCGGCCATATCCTCTCTTCGAGCCCTCTCGCTTTGCTCGCGTGGTATGTCACGTCACATACACGACCCCTGTTTCCTCCGGCTGAAAAGCAACGGAAGCCGAGAAGTACTAGTCTGACTGCGATGCAGGGTCGGAGAGAAATTCCTCACCTGGGCCGACGAGCCTCTTCCCTCGCAGACGATCCTGGAGTTCGCCTCGCTGTACTGGCTGACGGACACCTTTCCGCGGGCGATCTACCCTTATCGAGAGGTATCTATGATTTTGGTTTCCGCGTTGGAAGGCCGTTGTGTCAGGGCTAACGCTTGGGTATGTACTTAGGAACTCCCCGTGTCGCCCGAGCGGAAGCCTCTGCGGTATATTGAGAAACCGCTGGGGTTTTCCTATTTCCCGGTTGAGCTGTTCCCCGTGCCCAGGAGCTGGATCGAGACCACGGGGAATCTGGTCTTTTGGAGGGAACACCAGCGGGTATGTGCTTCGCGTCCAGACTCCAGACTCCAGAGAGAGAGAGAGAGAGACTCGTTTGCTGACTGTTGTGTAGGGAGGCCATTTTGCTGCTCTGGAGAAGCCGCAGGAGTTGAAGGCTGATTTGACGGCGTTTGTGGGGCAGGTTTGGGGGAGGGAATAGTTAGATGGGGAGTAGTTCTGGATGGTTGGATTAGTTAGTTGTCTTGATTGTGGATGATTCAGAGCGACGAGTGAGAGAGTAAACTGTGGTGGGTGTTCACATATAAGCACTTTTATCTTGAAGATAGCCGTGGCAATGTGTTTAATCCAGTGGTTCTCTCTTCACCGATACTAAATCAACCACCATGACCCCGAGAAGACCAAGTCCAAGACTACTACGTAGTACTAGGACTAACTAGGTCACTAAATCAATACCCCACATCAACCCACCCGGCCGATCAATCGCTCCCTAAAGCCACTAGAAAGCTCTAGCCCCAAGCTATCGTGCCAGAAGATGCGACTCATTAAACAAATCCATACTGGGTACAGCATGTCCAACAAACACATCACTCCACGCCGAAAACTCTAGCCCATACCGTAGCACGCCTCCCAACTATTGTTATATAAATCCCATCCACTACACACCACATTCAACTTCACATCCCCAACTCCAACCACCATCATGTCACGGTCAAAACGCCAAACGCGCACGACGGATATGTCCATCCTCGACAGCAACGAGTTCTTCTCCGACGAGTCGAGCTTTTACGGTTCGTATTCTCGTCTCCTGTCTTATCTGCTCACTATCACTAGTGGGTTGTTTATCTACTTCCCATATGACATCATCCCCAGCCAAAACAATGAACTAAACTAGAAACCAAAAAACAAAAAGGATCGGACGACGAAAAAGCCCGCCTGGAATATCTCGCCAAAACATACGACCCTGAACCCTACTGGGACACCATCCATCCGATCCTCTACTCCACAATCCAACATGACTCCCTAGCTGCCTCTAAACAACAACAACCACCTCCTATCTCCGAAACCAACCCCCCAACCAAACCCAAACCCAGCCCGCACCCGGTCCACTTCGAGCCCGAAACACCCCCATCCACGACTGCGCACAACGCCCGCAAACGCAACGAGTCTGTAACCGACTTCCTGGCACGGTTACCCCCTTCTGAAACCGAGTCGGCGGATGTTGGGCCGTGGATCTATGTCGATCATCCCGGGGCGCCGCGGGAGGAGAAGGATATTGCCGGGTTGGTTGGGCAGGGCACGGAGATGTTGAGGGCGTTTGAGGAGAGGAAGGTGGCGGTGGAGGTGGAGATGCAGGGCGCTTCTGCGCTGGCGAGGGGCCGGAAGTTGGTGCCGCTGCGGCGGGGGTTGGAGAGGGAGATCTTTGCACTGGCGAGGGAGACCGGAGTGGTGTCGGGGAAGTGGATGTTGTTTCTCGGCGAGGAGGTTGTGGATCGCGTCTGGGGGGTTGTGGTGGAGGAGACCGTCGAGGGTCGGTTGGGCTTTGCGGCGAAGGTGGCCACGCGGGATGAGCGTGGGAAGGCGAGGTTGTTGGCGATCTATACCCGGGATTTTGGGGATGTGGAGGATGCGCGCCGCGTGTTGCAGAGGTTGGTTGAGCTGGAGTTGGTCAGGAAGGAGGAGAGGCCCATTTATTATAAGTGTGATGCTTATACCTATTTGGAGATTACGAGTGGGAATCCGTATGGGTTGAAGGCGAGTATGTTTTCCAGTCGGGAGGTTTTGGAGCGGAAGGTCTGATTTGTTTTCCATCTGTGATGTATTGTTTATCTGTCCATCTAATACGTATGATGATGATCATGTCGTTATGATCTGTCTGAGCTGCTGCGGCTCGCTGTCGATATCTAATGTGACCTGAGATTGGTTTGCTGAGCTTTGAGCCTGGGTATGGTTGGTGCCAGGCTCAACTTTCTCCGGGGCTGTTCCTTGATATCGAAGTGATACCCTAGGTGAACTAGGAGCCATCCCGAGCCAGCAGTGGCTAGACGGTCCGATAAGGTTGTTCCATGTTTGATCAACGTGATCCGGTCGAGCAGTACTGGGCTATCCGAGCCTGTCAGAAGGCCCAGCAGTGTCAACAGTCGATATCCCAAGCCCTGGGGAACGTTCTTCCAGAGGCCAGCCCGACAATCATTCACAAATGTAGCCCACTGCGATTATCGGTTGTGACACAGCCAATCCTTCAGGAAGCGTCATCGGTCTTTTCCATGACCTTCTCACAAGTCTCCCGGAGCTCCTGGACACCTTTCACACCCGCCCACTTCTGGAGCAGCTCCCGCACCTCCTCCCAATCTTTCTCAGCCTCCTCCCGACTGCGTCCGCAACGAGCTTCTCCAACCGAGCCGGCGTACCAAGCACCCACCTCACCGTTTCCTTCTCAGCCTTCTTGCGCTCCCCCTCATCCGACGCCTTCGCTTCCTTCATTCGCCGTCTCTGCTCCTCCCCCTCCTGAATCAGCCCCCCAGCCGTCTCCGCCACAAAAGCAATAGCCGGTCCCAACGTCTTGGTCATAGTCAACGGCGCCCCCCGGTCATCCATACTCTGCCGCATCTTCCCAATAGTCTCCACCGCCCGAATCAACTTCGAGTAGTTATCGTAGACAAGCGCCTTGCGCTCGCTATCCAGCGTTTTGATGTCCCCGACGAGGGTATTCTCTGCCTTCAGCACGGTCGACAGCGACGACGTAGCCAGGAGATGGGTGACGTAATGCTGGGCATCGAAATCCGGACTATCGAGTTCCGTCCCGGTCTGGACGACTGAGGGATTCGAGGTGTCCGCTGCGTCTGTGGGTCGGGGAATGCTGCGGGATCGTCTGGCTCCTGGCGTTTCGGCTGCCGAGGGTTTGAGGTTGTAGTAGTCGCGGAGAGCGGCGCGGTTGCGGCGTGGATGGAGGGAGGGAGAGACAGCACGGGCTGTGGAGGGGGTCGAGCTGGCGCTGAGGCCGGGGCCGACATTGGTGTTGAGGGTGTCGAGCGATGGTCGGCGGGAGGATGCTGGGGTGGGCGAGTGGGCGCGTGAGGAGGTGATTGATGGGCGGGGGGAGGAGATGGTGGACATTTTGATCGATTGAGGGTGTCTAGTGAGTGTGGAGGTTCAGTATACTCATGTGCAAACACAATGGAGAGGTAGCGAGAGAAAAGCGAAGGGTGGTTTGAAGCTAAAAGAACAGCGAAGGTCAGGAGGAGGTTCAGCGGTGGTCCGTTCCCCGGATTTCGTTCCGCGGCGGAATAGATTTATAAATAAAGGAAAATCAAATCAAATCAACTACAACACACCAACCACGGGCATATCTGGACCTCACAATGGCCAATCCCGAAGAACAAATCGCCGCCCAGCTCCTGAGCAGCAAGTCGCTCCCGGTCTCAGCAGCATGGCTCAGTAACTTCCTTACCTCGATCGCGCACCAGCGCAACGTGCCCCTCTCGGCCGTGACCCAGACTGCTTTATTCCGCATCCTTGCCTCGGACTTTAGAGATTCTCTCTCCACACGATCACCGTCGTCACTCCTTCCCGTCGATATCTTCGACCCCACCGTACAAGAAAGACGACTCCAAGGCGTGATCCCCGTCCAAGTCCTCGATATCGAGGACATCGGCGCGAGCCTCTGGAGCCAAGTGGAAGCCATTGAGCGCGTGGAACGGGGAGAGGCCATCCGAGGACGGGAGATTGTGCGGACGATTAATGTGGACGAAGACCCGGAGCAGAGCGCGGGGGGTGCCGGTGGGAATCCTGCTTCTGCGCAGCCAGAGACGGGAAATAGCAATGGCCCGCACCGGGTGGTCGTTCAAGATGCGGCGGGGACGAAAGCTGTCGCTATCGAGTTGAAGCATGTGAGTGGTATTGCGCTGGGGAAATTGCCCATTGGGGCTAAGTTGGTGTTGCGCAATGCGACGGTTGCTCGTGGGATGGTGTTATTGACACCTGAATCTGTTACGCTCCTTGGGGGGAAGATTGATTCCTTGGACCAGACGTGGAGGGAGGGCAGGAAGGAGAGACTGATAGCACGAATCACGGAAACGCAGGGGGAGCAGTAAGCTTGAGAACGGAGTGGTCGGCTTTACGATCACAAGGCCTGTCCTTGGATAGTGTCTAAGGTATGTCGGGATGCTTCTATTTCATCACTCATGCTCTAACTACAGTAGACATGTTGCAGGATACCCTGCTCGACTATCTATAAGCGCAACTCTCATCAGGGGAAGCCATCACACTAGTTTGTTGCAGACACCGTGTGATTCAGTTCTTCCCACCCATGCTGTTTCCACGGGGCAATCATAATCGCCCGGAGTGCGTCACTCGCCTTTCCGGTCTGTGCATATGCGGTAGACAGGTCCACAGCGTCAAGGTTGCCTCGGGGTGGAACGCTACGCAACGCTCTCTTGACGCCCATCTCTGCGGGGTATGATTCATCGGAGGCTGCCGCCAATTCCATCCAACCCTGAGGCTGGTAAGGTGATCTCATCACGGCTGCCGCAGCTTCTCCAACGCGTCTTGTCTCCTCGGGAACGCCAGAGTTATCAGTGAACCCTAAGGTAGACATGGCGGTTAGAAGCTTGACCAACTTAGTCTGTTCGTGAATCTCAATATCATCTCTCGTGATCATAATCCGCAAGTCAGATTCGACGGCCTCAATGGCATCCTTGTCGGAATCGAGGATCGCGATGGCGCCCAGTAGTGTGACAGCCCCGACATGCTCGGGGTTGTTCTCCACACAGTCGAATAACTGTTGGCGAGCGACGGCCCGTTCCTCCTCGCCGCCTTTAGCCCATAGCACTTGTGCGAGAAGGCATACCACCTCAGGCGCATTGTCCGCTTCCTGGAGAGCGTCACGGAACATATCAATCGCACTGTCCATGTTCCGTAGATAATAATGCGCCAGACCCGCGGTCAAGTGCGCTGACAAACGCAGCCTGCTGTTCGTTTCAGGGTCGAACTTCTCGGCATCTTCTTCACCAGACAGCATGAGTGCTGTCTCCGCCTTTTCGGCGGCTTCCTCGAATTCCTGACGTGCAAGGAGGACCCGAGCAATATCCGCGTTCGCCTGCGCGTATTTAGAGAGGGATGACGCTGACTCGGACACCTCGTATTCTGCCTCGACGGCGGTACAGAGGGCCCGTAGACTGATTTCTGCATCTGACAGTTCGCCAATTCTCTCAGCCAAAAGAGAGGATAGATGCACGAAGGGTAGATCGGACGGATCTTGCGAAGAGAGCTGGTGGAGTGCAAAGAACGGTTGGATCAGCTCGGAAACCTCATTCGAAGCCGAGGAATCTGACATAAGATGGTCGAACAAGCTCAACGTGTACTGCTTCTTAGGCAACGGAACTGCCGAGTTGGAGATATCAAAGGCATGCTCAAACAGACCCCTGGCTTCCCGTGGGTCACCAAATAGAAGTGCAAGAAATCCTTGCCCAATCCAAGCTTGGGAGTTGTCTGGATCTGTAGACTGCGCTCGAGTAAAGGCTTCGTTTGCAAGCTGGATGTCATTGTGGATCAGGTAGAGTGCACCCAGGTTGGTCCAGACTTGCGCTGTTCTGTCGTTGAGATGAAGACTTCTCACAAAGGCATGTTGTGCGACCTTCGGGCTCATGCTTGTAGTCACCACACCAAGGGCGTTCCAGAATTCAGAGTTCCCAGCCTCCAGCTCAATGGCCCGTTTAAAGCATCGGATTGCGGCCTTCAAGAATTTCCGCGACTGCTTCTTGCCCGTAGACACTTGCATACATCTGAATGCCCTGTATTCTGACCAGCCAAGATTGTACCAAGCAACGGCCTGAGCATGAATGTCCTGTGCTGACACATGGATGGCGCGCTTGTATGCCAGAATCGAGGCGTACATACATCTATCCGATAGGCCGCAGGCCTCGTCATCTGCATTTTTCAATTCCGAGAGACGATCTTGTCCGACCTCATCGACGTCTGTAAGGATGTCGAAAACTGCAGACTCAAGCTGGGTAGAGAGTAGTTTCTGTACTTCGTTGATTGGGGCTCTTGCAGTCTTCGACTGGACGTAGGAGAAGATTGAGCAGGCATCTCCCACACCTTTCCATAAATTGAAGATGTCGACCCTTTCCAGGGCTAGAGATGCTGCTACAAGAATCGCTTTACGGGCAAGTTCAATGCAGTCGTTGAAAAGTCCCTGTTCGAGACTCTTCCAAGAGCTTTCCGTCAGTGTATGGAGTAGTGCAATAGACACGCCGAACTCATTCGGATGGATGCTGAGGACATCCTCATATCTCGCAATAGCATCGTTGTATTCTCCAAGCTCCCGCTTGACATTTGCCAGCATGTACCGTGCGAACCAGACCTGTTCCTTATCTGAGTTGGAAAGGGAGTCCTCCAACTGTTGGGCGTGCTCGAACGCTTTCGTAGCGGCAATGTAACGGCCGGAATGATGGTAGCTCTCTCCTAGGCCAACCCATGAATGGTAATCGCCCGGTGACAGTCGTAAAGCTGCCTGGAATGAGACGATACTCTTGGCATATTGTTGCTTGTTAATCTGGACAGTGCCCAGAGCAGCATATGGCCAGCTGTAACCCCGTCGTTTCGAACCCGGCGCAGGTTTAGCTTTACCGGAGTCCACAACACGCTGTGACACAGCTTCAACAAGATCCCACTCCTTCTGATCCGCAAATGCCTTTGCGAGCCTCTCCGCTGCTTCGATCTCGGATGGCGATAGCTCAAAGGCTTTGTGAAAGCATCTTCGCGCCCTGCCTTTGTCCCTCTTGTAATCGGCGTAGAACAGTCCGAGACTAGTGTAGGCAGGCGCATAATTAATGTTAGTCTGGATTGACGCAAGAAAATTAGCGTAGGCACCGTTGCGATCCTTGCGTGCGGCAGATGATGGATCCAACTCCCACTGACAATAACCAATACGATAAAGAGTTTCTGATTTAAAATCTCGATTTTCCGAATCCGAGTTTTGTAGTTCTTCAAGCACATCTTGGAGCCCATGAAGTCCGGATGTAAGATCACCTGTTAGTGCCTTGCTCCAGGACAGTTCGGCACGAACTTTGAGGTTCGATGGGTCTCGTTCCAGAGCACGCTGCAGGAAGTCGAGGGCCTCGGTATAGTCTTCGTCTACTTTGAGAATAAGCCCAATCCCAAGTAGACAGCTCGTGGATTTTGGATTTCTCTTGAGGATTTCTTCGAAGATGACTTTGGCCTCAGGGTGGTTCCGGGGCGACTGATAGTAGATCAGGGCGTTTGCAAGGGCAATATTCATGCAATCGGTTGTCTTTTGGAGCTTCATTCCAGACATCTTGACCAGATCTTGAATGTTGCGAAGTCCTTTGCGAGACACATCTACAACGCTCTCGTACTCTTCAAGGGTCAAGTAAAATTCACCCAAGATGCGATGCGCAACAATCGAGGATCCAGACATCTCAAGCCCTTCGACCATCAACAGAATACTGTCTTGGACACCGAGTTCATTCGTCTCGTCATTTTCATCCTCGGCCTCCTGTTCCTTTGCCTTAGAATCTTTGTCCTTCGCCTTGGAGTCTTTGGTCTCCTTGGGGAATGGTGAAAGGTTGCTGGCCAGGAAACCTTTCAGGACTTTAGTAAGCCCCGCTTCTGGGAAGAATTCGATAAAATCCTGTAAAAAGTTGTGGTCCCACTCCGAAAAGTTTTGGATATCTTGCCATTCAAGAAAGATTCTCCACGCGAGCTCGAAGGGGTGCTTGATAATGACCATGTCGCGAGCTGCCACCCACACCTCCTCTCGCTTCGCCTTCTTTTCGTTTGCCGGAACAACGGCGAGAACATCGCAGCCCCGCTCTAATATCTTCTCTTCATATGTACGCCGGACCTCATCGTCATGGCTCCAGTCCACGATTCCGCGATAAAGCTGTTCGAGTTCGCTCCGCCTGAAGGCCTCCCTCTTCACTTCCAGTGTTACCTGTTCAATGCGCGCACCCAGTCGTGTACGCCGTTCCCCTATCTCTCTGTTTATGAATTCCTTTTCTTCAGCTTCGGTCATCTCTATGAGGCGAAGGTAGGTATGCGCAGGATGCGGGATGAGACCCTCTAGGCTATCGTAGATGGGACTCGACGGTAAATGTAGTTCGAGGGCCTTTCGACATTGAGACCGCGTGCCATTTTTCTTTGTGAATTTGATGTATTTGTCTACAATTTCTTCGCAGCGTCGACGGTCATTTCTGGAGAGGGGTCAACTTGTGGCTTAACAAACGGTTAGAAGTGAGACGATGGTGAACGTACGCCTCCCCAAGGACCTGGCAAAGCTTTATAACTGCCTCGCGATAAGAGTCTAGTCTGTTGTTTCCTTGTCTTTCATACAAACTGATCAGTCCTTGCCATGCTATCTTGTCGTTCTCTTTCGCACGGGTTGCTGCGAGGTAGGCATTCTCCGCATCGTTTGTCTTGTTGAGTTTATCGAGCGCAAGACCTAGAAAAACATTCCTAGATATCAAATACGTCAGTGGAAGATGTCCAAACAGTAGAAAACCAGGTTACATACGCGTGGTAGTTTTGAGGTTCTTGTTGCACAAGAGCTTTGGCTTTCTCGGCCGCAAGCTCGAAGTCTTTCGAGTCCAGTGCTGTCCGCACCGCTTTCAGGGCTGCCTTGCTTGACATTTTAGCCCAATTGCTGCATAGCCTTGCGCTAGCAGTTGGAGAAAATTATCTGGCAGATCGCAGACCAGCAAACGAGCGACGGTTGAGAAGAAAGCCGAGTTAGGCAAATGTTCGGTTTGTGGGGAAGCCGAGCGGGCGGCGGGTGGTGATACGTCAGAGGGCCGATCTCGTGGCTGCTTATCTCCCCAGACCGTAAGCGCCCATCCGTCCATCTACTCACGGAATACCCCCTTACGGCGCTTGGGGAGCGGTGTGGAACTGAGCTCTGGATCTTTTACATCTTTCGAGATCCTTCAGATTGTATTTTCTCCGGTTACTGTAGGACGGTAAGCGTGGATCCCATCAGCAATGTATCATCGCTGAGCTATTCCCCTACTAACTTATCAGCACCCATAGGTCCCGGACTAGCATTCTATGCTATTTAAACCAAAACATACTATTCCATAACTATACTCGCTGTTTCGAACAATCATGGGAGCTCCCCGGCTTCGAATCGAAGGCGCAACCTTCAAAGACCCAAATAATCGAGAAATTACGCTTAGGGGCATCAATGTCGCCGGAGAATCCAAGTACCCCAAGAGCCCTGATACCCCTTCTCATGTGCCCGACAAGTTCTTTGAGACAGAAGACGTTTCATTTATTGGTCGCCCGTTCTCGCTGGATGATGCACATACACACTTTGCAAGGCTACGGAAATGGGGATACAATACCATAAGATATATTTTCACCTGGGAGGCTATAGAACACGCAGGTCCTGGGAAGTATGACGACGAATGGATTTCCTTTACCATCGAAGTTCTTCGAATCGCGAAGCAATACCAGTTCTACGTGTTCATGGACCCTCATCAGGATGTGGTATAGTTCCCTTCTGGCGCACTGAATGCCGGTGCGCATTTGCTGACAACATCCAGTGGTCCAGATTGTCAGGAGGATCCGGTGCACCGGGATGGACTCTCTATGCAGCGGGGCTTAACCCAAGGACCTTCAAGAAGACCGAAGCGGCTCTTGTCCAAAATACGTTTGACAACCCGGCAGAGTTTCCGAAGATGATCTGGAGTACGAATTACACCCGTCTTGTCTGCCAAACGATGTTCACTCTGTTCTGGGCTGGCCGGGATTTTGCACCTAAGGCAATTATAAATGGTGTGAACATTCAAGAATACCTGCAGGGCCACTTCATCGCTGCGTGTAGATATTTCGCGCAGAAAATCCATGAGGCTGGTGATCTGGAAAATGAAGTAGTTATCGGATGGGAAAGCATGAATGAGCCCCATAGAGGGCTTATTGGTGTCCAGGACATATCAGTGGTTCCGCCTGACCAACAACTTCAACTAGGGACGTCCCCTACTGCTTTCCAGGCAATGTTAACCGGATCTGGACGAGCGTGCGAGGAGACGACGTGGGCGTTCGGTGGCTTTGGCCCTCATCAGACTGGTCGGGAACTCGTGGACCCCGAAGGCGAATCTGCTTGGCTGCCTGCGAGTTATGATGATCACAAATATGGTTGGAAAAGAGATCCGGAATGGAAATTAGGCGAGTGTCTATGGGCACAGCACGGCATCTGGGATCCATCAACGGACCGACTACTCAGAAAGGACTATTTCGCTAAGAAACCCCAAAGCGGCGAACCATTGAATTACGATGTCTTTACGAACACATATTTCATGGAGCATTATAGGGCGTACAGGGATGCCATTAGAAGTGTATGGCCCGAGTCCATTATGCTTTGCCAGCCCCCTGTCATGGAAGTCCCCCCTGATCTCAAGGGCTCATTTGATGACGACCCCAACATGGTTCATGCCGTACACTATTACGATGGCCTAACATTGTTGACAAAGCATTGGTAAGTCGTGTTGCATTGCAGTTCATTAGCATCCCACTAATCGTTCTTCAGGAATCGACTATACAACGTTGACGTAATTGGCGTGCTTCGTGGAAAATATCTCGCGCCAGCATTTGCGGTGAAGATTGGAGAGACGGCGATCCGGAATTGCTTGCGTGACCAGCTCAAATATCTCAGAGAGGAGAGCCTACGGTTTATGGGAAATCATCCCATGATATTTACGGAAATTGGAATTCCATATGACATGGACGACAAACATGCGTACAAAACTGGCGATTATAGTAGCCAGATTAGTGCAATGGATGCCAACCATTTTGCCCTGGAAGGCAGCACTGCCAATGGCTTTACGCTGTGGCTTTACACAACACAGGTAAAGGACCCCTCCATTCCCAGCTGACACGTTTCCTCGAGCGCCCAATAGCTAATTCATGCGTCAGAACAATCATGAATGGGGCGATAACTGGAACGGCGAGGACCTCTCGATCTTCTCCCTCGACGACCCCGAGCTGCCGAGCGGTAAGCTGTTAGCGATTGAAAGCGCATCACGTTCGCGATCTGACCCTCATTCTCCAGCCTATTCAGAGAGTCAGAGTAACATGGAAGATCAGCACGTGGGTCCCTCGAATCTGAAAGACGCGTTGCGACCAGCCTCCATCACCTCCGAAATCTCTTCTCAGATGTCCAAAGACCACACAGGCTTTCGCGCCGCGGAAGCCTATATTCGCCCAAGTCCGATTTTCACCAACGGCTCTCTGACGCACCATGGCTTCGATTTACGGAATTGCACGTTCACCATGTCATTGGTGGCCAAAGAAAAGGCCACCCGAGGGGATCAACCCACAGAAATCTATTTGCCTGACTTCCACTTCCCGGAGGTACAATCCGTGGTCTCTGTGAGCAGCGGGGAGTGGACAATCGACCATGCAGAGATTGACTCTGTAAACATCCAACGACTTCGGTGGTGGCACCCAGAGGGACGACAAGAAATCAAGATTCAGGGAGTCAAACGCAAGCCAGGCGACTTGACTAAGGTCTCCGGAGAGGATATAACCTATCTGGAACAATGCCAACGTGGAGCCTGTTCTGTGATGTAGGGAGCATTGAACTGGATTGTCGCTCAGTTTTGACTACGGTTGGCGCATTGGGGGTTAAAGACATTTTTTGTTTATTTGATACGTCGAATCATGGCAGTTTGTTCTTTGGCTTTGTTTTCTCCGATGGAATAAAGGGAAAAAGAATGTCAATGATTTAAAGTTTCTTGCTGATCAGATAACAAGCGTCAGGGGTAACGACTTCGACGTAAGCCTAGAGGCTGAACCAGAATGGGAATTGGATTTAACGAAACCAAAGTCCTAAATGAAAATTGAACCATATAATGGTTATGGTGAGGATTCACTCGGTTGTATCTGTGAATTGCATTCACCCGAGTCGACCACCACCACTACCAGTACTAGTTAGCAGTAGGACGGAGTATAGAACAAGAGGACGAGTATAAATAGGAAGCGGTGTGGGCGGAACCCCTCCGAGAGTCGGTGTGGTGATTGGAGCGGCAGCGCGTGGAAAATTCAGTGAAAGCATCTGAAAGGGTAAAAGGTGGGTGGGTGTTTGCCTGATTATTCCTGGCTACTTTACTTTTTGGTTCCCTCTTTCCCAATCACAACAACGCCCGCCTCCTGTCTTAGAAAAACTACTCTACTAGTCTCCCAGCCCTGACGCTCTTCCTTTGGAGTGGTGTATATTGACCTGCGTTCTTCGTCAGGGTTATTAATCCCGTCAATCAAGAATCGTTTTCCCGGGCGGGATTCCGGACAGGCAAGAAACACTGAGCCGGACGTGCGCAGGTGCTCTTCTGGACCGTGGTCCGCCCGCTGGAACTATTCGATCACGGGTACTTGTTGATGATCTGCTGCACTTCCTTCGATCCTGTCAAACAAAACCTTAAAAAGAACTGCCCAAAAAGAATAAAAGAAAAGAAAAAAAAGGAAAAGACGACCGCAAAAAAGTCAAGGGCTTGTATGAAGCCTAGATCATGATCAAATTGCTCCAACGACTACTTAAAAGGAATTGAAGCAATCACTCCTGGACCCGTGCCTAAACAAGCCCCCCGGTCAATTTCAGGGTCGGGCCTAGTCGAAAAATGACTACCGAAGAAGATCTGTCGGAGAGCCGCATCGCAGACATCGTTCGCGCTCTGGAGCTCATCCACAATCCGTCTTCCACCAATGAGCTCCGCAGGGAGGCGTTGACGTTTGTTGAATCGCAAAAGGAGAGCAAATCCGCCGCGCGCAACGGCTTTGTGCTGGCATCTCGGGAACAGAACGACCCCTTAGTCCGCTACTTTGGTCTGACGCTCTTGGACCATGTCCTGCGGCACACCTCCTTCACGGCCTCAGCGCAGGTGATCGAGCTGAGGGAGCTAGTCCTCAAGCTTGCAGAGTCCATCCGACCTGAGGATCCTGCATATCTCCGCAACAAGATCCCGCAACTATGGGCGGAGATCGCGAAAAGGAGCTGGGGCTTGGACTGGGTTGAAATGGACCAGGCGCTTGCCCAATTCTGGGGAGCCAGCCTGGTGCACAAAGAGTTGGTTCTCTCCATCCTAGAAACTCTCTCGGAGGACATCTTCTACCGGGAAGATACCGTTTCCTCATTGCGAGGAACAGATCTCAACCGAGCGCTGGTTGAGATTTTTACGCCGCTGTCAGTTTTTGAAGAGGTCTATCCGAAAAGGGATAACCATGTCGAGCTACGGTACGGCACTGACGGCTGGCTGCCGCGAATCTGCGAGTTCCTTCAATATTGTATTGATAACCTTCAAAACTCAAAACAAGCGAAAGATGCAGCGCTCAAAGCCCTTGCGACTCTGAAATCCGTTCTGCTATGGGCTATTCCTAAAGCCATTATTTCCTCAAATTGTGTCCCTGCTATTGCTAGAGCTTTCACTTGCTCAGATGAGCAAGTGTTATTGGCTGCTGTCGAAGCCTTGCACTCTTTGTATAGCAGATCCAACATGGATATGGAGAGTTTCCAACCTCTTGTACATTTGATGTACGAGACCGAGTGTTTAGATATTATGCAGAAATTATACCAGTGGTCAATTGTGGGGCCTGACGACATGGACGATACCCGATATATGATCTCGAAAAAGCTGTCCGAAATGCTATCGTACATTGCAGGATTCTTGGAGGAGAAGGGGTTTTCTCTAGAGAGCGCGCGTGGCGTGAACTTGCCATTCTTCTTCCACCTGACAATAAGTGTTATTCAGCATCAGAGCTTGATGGTCTCGATCCCCGTCCTCCACGTGTGGTCCAAACTGTTAGCTTCTGAAAGAATAGGAAACACCGATCTGGTTACTGGCTTGATTCCTTCGCTACTAGAGATCTGCACCCAGCGGCTGGTCCGATGGGAGGCTTTACCAACGGATTCGGATGATCCCACAGTAGCATTTTTAACTGACGATATCGACACTATCCCGGAGAGACATGCCTTTGTAGGCAATTATCGCAGATACTGCTCGTCAATTATTGAGACGATCGTCCAGAAGCGCCCACAGGAAGCCATCCCCCATATCTTGTCAGGCGTTGACACCAATTTGAACAACCTCTACAATGGAGTGGAGCCTTTCAGCGGTGAGTTTGGCTTTGGGAACAGTGAAAATTTCGGGCTAACGATTCAAAACAGCAAAATCGTTCTCAAAGAGCTCAATTCCCCTGATGCGCGCCGATACACAGTTCGCCGTCGTAGAAGCAACTCTTAAGGGCTATAACAAGTGGGTGGCCGCTCACGGAAAAATGCCGCAGCAAGATGTAAGTACTGCCAACGTCACCAAATGACATACCGCTGATAGGTAATAGGAACAAAAACGAAGTGACCTGGAGGGTATCTTGGAGAAATGGGCTTTCTCGCTAATGCAGCGGAGCTTCGAGGTTTGATTGTGCAACTAATAGAAATGACCGAACACCGCATCGCTAACTAGAGATTCAGGACCCGGTTCTCAAGCAGAGAGTCATTAAACTTATCGTTGATATCTCATCAAAGGCTCTCGACAAGACTCCTAGCTTTGCGCTCAAAGCCCTCGAATACATTCTCATGACCCGCCTGCCTGATCAGCCCGAGTTTCCTGTTTACTCTGAGGCTGTGAAGGAACTGCATGGCTTGTCCAGCCATGAGCTCAGGCGCCTCGCAATGCGCTATTCAGAGTATTTCGCCGTGGGTCCACAACAGACATTGTTTGGGGGAACACAAGACTAATGAGGTCTGCAGACATTCTACGACGTACTTGAACCGAAAGTCAAGGAGATCAGCTTCGCCAACCGAGTGGATGACAAACTCCAAATGGAACTTACCTCCATTCTTCTCATAATCATGTATTAGCCATAACTTCATCGCCGTCCTAAATGTGTTAATACTGATCTTGCCAGGCAACGCGCGAATAACGTGGAACCGTATCTACGCCAATCCCGTTTGGCATCATTTATCGAGCCCATAAGGCAGGCTTGGCAAGATGAGGAGTTCAGGCAGATGAGCTCCTCTTTCGAAGGATTCTGCTCCATGCTTGGACTACAGAGCGTCGGACCGTTCATGCAAGCTCAACAAGCCCAGAAGCTGGAGGACTGGGCGTCCGTGCCTCTTGACAGCGAGGGTAAGCGAATTCAGGAAGAGATGACTCGAAAGTTCCAGGTAATCCAAATATGAGCCGTGACAGTCCGAGGGGATTCTGACAACCATGCTAGCAATTGCCTTTGAGAGGCACAAAGACGATGTTTGCTGTCTCTACAGATAAGCTCAAAAAGAGTGAGCCAGCGTATGAGCTTGCGTGCAGTGTCTGGCATGAGACGATTCCAATTATATTGCCGACATTGCTAGAGCTTGTTAGGTAAAATGGTCCAACCATTGCATCATAAACCACATAGCTAACCTATCCCGTAGTAATGCACATGCCTTCCACAATCCGGCCAACTGGGGCGGTCTGCCCGGTGAGATGCGGACAGTTGTTGAGCGCATCTTAACCGACAGATTCTGGCAAGCAGGCATATCTACTGGTAGTCGGGATGAGTTCTACGCTAAAATCACCGCTTCACGGGCATCGCTTGAAGGCTTTGCGTCCTCAGTCAGAGGTAAGATCAGAGCAGTTAGAGAATCTTGCTACTCGATGCTCTACAGTATGAGCAGACTACGTGAGCACTTCTATGGGTTTGCGGAACTTCCAGGGCCTTTGTCTCAAGCTCTATTCAAGGACTCATCCTGCCTTTCTTCACATCAGTTCTCTGTGCTCCTCAACATTGCGAGATGCTTAATTGACGATTGCCCCGTTCGCTTCCGTGGTCACTTCTTGCCTCCGATGCTCTCAACCTTGTTCACCAACATCGATAAAAAGGTTACATCGGAATGGGCTATGATCGAACAACAGAGAGAAGGTCTTGCGGACGCAGATCTGACTGATGAGATGAAATCCGAAAGTATCCTTCGACAATTGACGTACTCTGCGGTGATCATGGTGGCGAGCCTTCTGGATCCGCAGAGAGGGGGTAAGTGACCGCATCTTGATACCCTGCTTCTTCCGCTAATACTTCCATGATAGACCCTGACGAGGAACCTGTGGACCCAAGCGCAGCACATCCCCAACCTGCGCTCTCTGACTCCATACGCCATTTCGTCCTCTCCTCGCCGGAGATCTTTGAGCCTTTGATGCTTTTCTGCACCCATGCGCTTCGTATGCGTGATACCCGATGCTGCAGCATCATTACACGCGTTATCCGATCCATCCTACAGGACTTCGCCCCTCCCAATAACTCTCCAACAACAGTCCAAATCCGTGAATTCATATGCTCCGAGGTGCTTAAAGCATGCATTACGTCCGTGCATGAGCCCTATTTTGTCGACATGCAAAAGGATCTTGCCCAGCTTATCTCCTCAATTTGGGTACTCTATGGATCGAGCACGCCTACACCGCGCTCTGTGATCCTCAGCCTGCCTGGCATGGATGAGCAGAGGGTAGCAATGACTGAAGCGTCCCTAGTTAGATCTACCGCCGCGCGCCAACAGCGAGCTCTCATTCTGGATCTTTTGGAAGGTCTCAGGGGCGTCAGCATCGCCGAGCAAGGAAAGATCCTGGCTCGCGAGAGGAACGCCGCAAGGCCCGCAGCGCCTTACAGGAAAGATACATGACTGCCGAGATGGAAGGCCAGCAAAACAACAAGGTTGATATTAATGACGGGCCGGATCTGACCGGTGTGGCGGACATGTTTGGCTAGACGGGTTTCCGCGTATATACTGGATAATAACTACCCCCTTCACTCGCTTCTGTATAGTACGACGGTTTGCACCATCCCCATCCGTTGACACCCCCAAAATCCTTGATATCCGTCGTTCTGGCTTTTCTGGACACAAAGATAGAGTGCACCGTTAAAGCCTTTCATAGAAAGTACCTTTTAGCCATCAAAATATTTTGATACGCAGGACTACGCCTGTTCATTCTAAGCAGTCCTTACTTTCTGTACCGAATAGATATTGGAACTCTTTTTTAACCCAGTAAAAAAAACACATATTGCAAACTAACCACTCTCCTTTAGACGGTATATCTGCATCATACAGTGCCCCCCTCCAGCTTTCCTATCGTCTTACTGATCTAACAGATCCCGCACAAAGACTCCGAATTGTGTTGTAACCATAAATCAGGACCCGTCCACCGAGGTGCTCAAGTAAGCATGCAAAGTTAACATAAACGAATCCAAACACAAGACAATTGCAATCGCTTATTGAGAGACCTTAGTGGGTGTGTATACGAAGGTAGGGCGGACGAAGCTGCATCAGTCAGGAATGAGTACTCTTGCACCGATAAGTGATAGTAGAGGAAGGGTCATACCGCTCAGAGTTGTAAACCTTGGACTCAGAGCCCAAGAGCTCCTTCTCGCGGGCCTTGTCGGCGAAATGACGACGGACCTGGTCGCGGTCCTCTTCGGCCTGGAGGAGAGGGAGGATGTGGAGACGGCCCCAGACCTTTTCGCGGGCAAGCTCACTATTTCAAGTTCAAATGCAATCAGCACTGTGCTTCTTTTGCATTCGATCCGGGGAGTGAAAGCGGTGGGTTACGTACTTTTGTTCGCGGATACCGTGGAATAGCTTGTAGTAGCCGTAGCCCATTAAGAGGTGCATACCGATGAGGTAGGTGACGGGGCGGAAACCACGGGCGGGGATGTTACGCTATCGAGCATGTTAACCAGGGCGTCCTTGAAACAGGTTCACGGCGGCAATGGAAGCGTGATCCGTGAGGCGATTCAAGTAGACATTTGGGGCCGATGATTCCAGGGCAATTGAACACCCACGCTGGGAAACGGGACATGCTGCACATACCTTGTACTGAACTGGCCCGTAGCCCCCAACGGGGGGCATATCCTGAGGCATTTTGACGACTGACGGACACAGCAGCGTTCAATGTAATCTTGGGATATCCGTAGGGAAGATCCGCCGATGATGCTCGACGAAGTTGGAGTGATGGTCACGTGCGACGGCTTTGGTTTGGTAATGCGGGCTGCGCTGTCGCTCATTGGTTGCTGGTGATTTTTTGGTGCTTGTTCCCGGAGCTTGGGTTTCTCTTTAGTTTTGAGAAATCACAATTCGCCGCGACAAGGGCATATAGCTTTGGTTTGACGCTGATATCACACAATGGAGGACGACGAAAGGCCTAGGAAGTATCCAAAATTGAGCAATGACGAGGGACAGGAGGATTCGGAGCCTACAATGACTGGAGCTGTGGGATCTGTTCCCCACGAGCACGCCGCCCAGCCCACTACGCAGAACGATGTCGCAACAGCAGCGAATGGTGCCGATGACAAGTCAAAGGATGGGCAGCAAACTGTGGATGAAAGCAAAGATGATGCGCCCAAAATATCGAAGAGACAATTGAAGAAACTCCGTCGCAGAGAGCAGTGGGACGCGCAAAAGGACCAGCGCAGGACTCAACGGAAAGAAAAGACGGTCGCAAGGAAACAACGAAGACGCGAGGCATTGAAAGAGGCAAGAGAGGAAGGCGGCCAAGAGGCAGTAGACCAGCTTCTTCAGACTTGGATGCCAAATCGGCAGAAGTTCAAGCAGTCGACCTTGCTGCCGATCACCCTGGTTGTTGACTGTGGCTACGATGACTTGATGCTTGAAAAGGAACGGATTTCCCTTTCATCACAGCTTACGCGCTCTTACTCCGATAATAGGGGAGCGCCCTACCGTACTCATATGGTGTTCTCTTCCTTCAATAAATTGCTCAAGGAGCGTTTCGACACAACGCTAGCAAAGTCATATAATAATTGGAAGGGAATCCGCTTCATGGAAGACGATTTTGCGCATGCTGCAGAACAGGCCAAGGAATGGATGAAGGAGCCTAATGGAGGTCAGTTGGCAGGCATGTTTGCTAACAAGACGGACGCAGCGCCTGAAGACGGAGAGATTGTGTACCTCAGCAGTGATAGCCCAAACACGCTGACGGAATTAAAGCCATACAGTACCTACATAGTCGGCGGACTGGTGGACAAGAACCGTCATAAAGCAATTTGCTACAAAACGGCAGTGGAAAAGGGAATCAAGACGGCTAAATTGCCTATTGGGGATTACATTCAAATGGCCTCGCGCCAAGTGTTGGCGACCAACCACGTTGTGGAGATTATGATCCGATGGCTGGAACTCGGAGATTGGGGTGAAGCTTTCATGAAAGTTATTCCTCGGAGAAAGGGTGGTACCCTGAAGGACTCGGGGCGAGACTCTGAAGATCCATCACCGGAAGGCGATGTTGCCGAAGCTGACTCGGATGAAGAAGTGGAAGCTGCTGAACCAGAAGATGAAGCTGATGCACTAGAAGCTGAAGCTGCTGCTCCTAGTACCAATCCTTGATGCCATATAGAAGAAAGAAACTCTGATGAACATGAACATTCAAACATTTATGGTATGCTCAGTCGACACTCTTGTACATGCATAGCACAATACTATAAAAGCACGTGACTACTCGACACGTTTCAGCCACATGACCGGAGCGCCACAGCGCCACAACGGTTGCCACTGACGATCGATGACGGAAGATCAACACAAACAACTTTTCCTTCGCTTTTTACCAAACAAGACCACGAGCGCTGGAGATCAGAGAGACTCCCTTGCTTGAGTGAATATCACTGCGTCGTCATTTGTACTCTCATCCTCTAGGTGATGGTCCTCCCCTCCTAGTCGCATCTCTTTTCTTTTTCTTTACCTTCTTTCCCCTTCGTAGTGGTCCGCTTCCTTGTCCACCACTTCCTAGCGGACTTTGTTCCCGAACCCTGTTCTTTTTTCCACACCTGGAGTAAACAGCCGCTGTTGCTCAGACAGCCAGAGATCGCAGCCATGTTTATGATCCGCAATGGTACGAGCTTACTTTTCCTTCCTCCACTTTCCTTTTATTCAGCCCCTCTTTTAATCTCTAATCTTTATTACCCCGCCATCCACCCCTCCCTCACTTGATTACCTCCCTGTCCCATCACTTCCCCTTGGCCTCCCTATCTGACACTAACACGTTATCTCTTGGCTTCTAGTGAGCAAGTTCCTCTTCGGGGATACTTCCAAAGAGTCTATCATCGAGATCCCTCAGGGCGAGCTTTATCTAGTCCGCCCTCTGTCACCCAAGGGGTACTCGGAACTTATCTTCAAGGACGCGGCTGCGTCGATCCGACGTACCGGACAAGAGTATCAATATCAACTTGTTATCCAAAGAGCCTACGAGGAGGGCGAGGAAGAACTAAGCGCCGACGAAGACGAGCAAGGTGGCGTGGATAACTTCGACAAAGACGAGAAGATCTTCCTTCTTGACGAGGCTTTGCACTTCCGTACTGAAGTCCGCGAAGGGGGCGCCAAGGTTCTGGCCTGGAGAGACCTGAGCGGTGATATCGGCGACCTGTACGAATTCGTTTGCGACCCGTCCGTACCAGCCGATAAGATCCCTACTTTTGAGCTGGCTGCCTTCCAGTGCCAGTACGAGCGGAAGTACCGACAAAGCGCTCAAAAAGCAACCGAGCAGGATCTTCAACAGTTCTCGTACCAAGAGGAGAAGCCCATCCCCTCCGCGAGCCCCATCGCATCACCAACCAAGTCTCGCGCTCACTCGCTTACTTCTGGAGATTCAGCCGCTGCGATGGCCAAGGATGTTGAATATCAGAAGTCCAAAGGACAGATCAAGCCAGTTGACAATGGAGAGGAGCCCACTGTGGCACCGCCATCGGCAGAACAGCCTGAAGCCAAGGAAGTTCTTGCAAAGGAAAAGGCTGAACTGCATATGTTTGACTTCCCAAGTGGAACGTTCGTTATCCAAGACACCGAGGTGACTGCCACTGTATCTGAGATCGGTAACTGGCAGTATTGGCTTCAAATCAGCGGTACTGAGAAGGAATGGCTTGGACAGGCTGTTGTCGCGGATATTAACCCTGTCTTTAACTTTGAATATCTTTCCTTTATCTTCAACCACTACGCTGAGGATGGCTCCGCATACTCTTGGCTCTTACGTTTCAAAGACCAAGAAACTGAGGAACGCTTCCAGGAGGGTCTGATGCAAGCGCTTTGGGAACAACTGAACGAGATGAAATGGGTCAAGGTGAAGGAGGACGACCGGGAATATGTCTTGGATGCCTTCCAGGACCTTACCATGGAGGACGCAGCCGACAACCTGGAGGAGGAAGAAGAGGAGGAAGAGGAAGAGGAGGACCAGTACGACGGTCAACGCAGTGAACACTATGACAGCGATGAAGAAGAGGACGATGTGGTTACACACGATGACGACGGCAATGTCAACTCGCAACTTGCAGTCGGTTACAAGCACGATAGATCGTTTGTTGTCCGGGGTTCCAAGATTGGTGTCTTCAAACACACTCCAGACAACAACCTTGAGTTCTCTACCAATATCTCTAAGGTGGAGACACCAAACGGCAAACTGTTCAGCCCCAAGAAGGTCATGTTGCATGCCGAGGACTCCAACATGATTCTTCAAAATGGGGACGACCCTAACTCTCTTTATCGCATGGACCTAGAGTATGGTAAGATTGTCGACGAGTGGAAGGTTCATGACGATATTCCTGTCAGCACATTTGCACCAGAAACCGTAAGCCTAACAAACATCAAATGATTATGTCTGAAGCTTTGCTAACTGTCATAGAAATTCTCCCAAATGACCAATGCTCAAACTTTCGTTGGAGCCTCTCAGAATGCGCTCTACCGCATTGATCCCCGTCTGGCAGGCAACAAACTTGTCGATGCGGATTTGAAGCAGTATGCTAGCAAGAACGACTTCTCCTCCGTGGCCACGACTGAAAAGGGATACATCGCTGTCGCTTCGAACAAGGGAGATATTCGCATGTTCGACCGCCTGGGGATCAACGCCAAGACCCATATTCCTGCACTGGGCGAACCTATCATTGGTCTAGACGTGTCCGCCGATGGGCGCTGGGTTCTCGCCACCTGCCGTACCTACCTTCTTCTCATCGACTCCCTGCAGAAGGAAGGCAAGAATGAAGGCAAGCTTGGTTTCGAGCGTTCATTCGGCAAAGACGCTAAGCCCCAACCTCGTCGTCTTGGTCTCCAGCCGGCACATGTCGCACAGTTCCAGCATGAAACCAAGAAGCCTCTCGCTTTCACCCAAGCTCGCTTCAATACCGGTGTTGATTCACAAGAGACGTCGATTATCACGGCAACGGGTCCGTTCATCGTCACATGGAGCTTGAAGAAGGTGCTTGCTGGACGCAAGGATCCCTATACGATCAAGCGGTACTCTGAAGAGGTTATGGCAGACAACTTCCGATTTGGTTCTGACAAGAACGTCATTGTCGCTTTGCCGAACGAGGTCAACATGGTCGCCAAGAGAGCTCTCCAGAAGCCCACTCGTGAGAGTATTGCAGGGCCCCCAGTCACCCCAAGCCGTCGCAGCACCCGGTGGGGCAGCCGGTTGGGACGAGATGATATTGTCAACTCACCATACTAAACGTCCGGCCCCGTTCTCTAGTCAAGGGACTTTTACTTATTTATTACCTCGGTTGTTCTTTTCTTGTACACTGCATACCCCCTTTTGTCTTCTTTTGTTTTTTCTTCACTGCCTTTTTCTGTTCCTTAATAATTCCTAGAGCCCTGTTCTTACACCGCTTCTATGATCTTCTCGTGCAATTTCCCGTACGATAAACCATGGACAATCTTTCTCCAGACGGCGATATGGCAACTTACCAATGAGATGGAAAGGGTGGGATTGAATTATGGTCTTTGCAATCTCGAGATAAATCTCTAGTAATACATGAGTACGAATTATGAATTTCGGATGACATTTCTCCAGTAATGAGTGCTATAATTGTTCAGAGATCGACGACCACTCTACATATGTGAAGTATGCATCGCTCATGATATAGAGGAAACTTTTCTCTTTCCTATCAGCATGGAAACTATGTAAGATTCAACAACGGTGCACAACACGATGAGACCAGCCACAACCGTGCACGGGTATTATAAGTAGATAGATATATCAAAACAGCTCGACAAAGACCGGCTAACTGACGTACTAAACAATGCACCCAAAGCCCAAGATACACCACAATCTACCAAGATACTCCACCTGCATTACATCCAAGGATAACTCAACCAACAAACCCTCAAGCACCGACATACCATACTTCGACACCAAGGATATCAAATTTGACGCCCTCATCTGACAGGGGTTCATTGCCGAATGTCTGGCACCCGGCACTCACGCCCTTTTCCAGGCTCGAGTCAACCCACAGACCATAATGGCCATCTCTGCTTCGATGTTAGTTATCATAAACAGTTGCTGCCAGTATTCAGAAAGAACGAGCTTACCCTCCACCTAAGCTGAGAAATCCCGTTTCACAGAACATCATATAATCATTCACTCCGCTGTACGGGAACGCCTTAAACCGGATTCTCTCTGGGGTACTGGCACCGCTAGTACGTCCACTAGCTGGCGGGGGTGCCAACTTAGCATCGCTGGCCCGCAGGGTCGTGGATCGACCAGCATGCGTGGTATCAGCGCTCGGCGGGAGGGGCAGACCGGCGAGTTCGAGCATGTCCTCTGATGGGGGCCCGTCGCGGGACAGGCTCAGGTTCGTAGGAGGAGCGAGAACGCTCGCGCGCCAGAGGAAACATTCGCCCGTACCGTAGTAATGAGAATCTGGATGCGGGGGGTCGGTCATGTAAGCACCGAACACGGCGCCGGAGGGAGAAGAGTCGCGGACGATGAGGACGTAGCCCGCCCGCGGGCTACGGTGAGACATTTCTCGACAATTTTCATAGAGGGTGGCGAGCGAGGCGCGTCCCGGTCCAGGCTGTAGGCGAGACGCCAAGTGTCGACGAGTTGCAGGCGGGCTGGGACTAGCAGCCGGATTTCCTCGGCCAGGGCGCGAGTTAGGAGCTGCTGTTGGAGGTTGGAGGGGTCGCCGGTGAGGGTGAGGGGAGTGAGCGGTGGAGGCTGGAAAGGTGATGCGGTTCGAACGGGAGTGAAGACCTGAGAGGAGGTGATGGAGTCGTTTGGGGTCGTCATGGAGGATCGATTGCGGTTCATGCTGGTCTTTGATTTCGAGGCTGGTGGGTCGGTCAGGCGACGGTAGAGGCCTGATACGACATGTGTGACGGGGTAGGAGAAGTAGGACGCAGTCGATTGATGAATCTGGGCGTTGTTCGATTGTCGAGAGCGAGATGCGGATCTCGAGCTGGAGGCGGAGGAAGACATGCGTGCAGCGGGGACGGGAAGAGGGATGGAGGAGGAGGAGGAGGAGGAGCTCACGGATCCAGGGAACGAAATTGCTCAGGCATTCAATTGGCTACCACGGAACTGCAGACGGCGGTTCGAGTGAAGAACAAGCGACGAGCCGTTGGAGGAGGAGATTGAAATTAAGATAACAAATGATCGTTTGAGTTTAGTTCCCTTTCGGGTCACGGGTGGGGTGATCCCCAGCCTCATAGGGCAGCGTATTTATTGAAATCAGTTGGATTTTGGTCTCTCTTCCAACGCTACAGCACAATTCTCCTAGCACATCCAAAGCTATATCTATACGGCACATGCCGCCCAGAGATTTCGAATAACTACAGAGCAAGAGATGGGATATCCGACAATATTAAAATAGAATGAACCCTCTAGAAAGTGGCAGAGTACGCTCTCATAAATCGTGAAATGGCAGCCATCGTTAGATTTAGGATCCGTTCGGCCGCAGATCCACAGTCTCGAATTCGAGCCCCTTGGCTTCGAACACATGCCCCGGTCGTAGCGCATCGGTATAGATGTTGGTCTCGGCGTGCGGGTGAAACAGACCGGGCTGCGTACAGTTGAGGACCGTCTTGAGCCCGGGCGGGTCGGTCAATCGGAAAACGCCCCAGTCCGGTGTTTTGCTCGGAGCGCAGACAATCGCAATGCTCTCGGGCAACATCACTTGGTATCCAGAATGCGTATGCAGATCTCTCGAGCTCATGAAGCATGTTTGCGTCGGGTGGGTATGAATCCAGCCGAGGATCATCAAATCCTCCGAGTCGCAGTATTCAAATATGGCAGTCTCGTTCACCGTTTCGCACGTGTCCGATGTGGCGGTTTGCTCGGGGATGAGAAGCCGGGAGACGAACAGAGCGTTAGATATCAAGGTCCCACAAAGTATACCGCATGTTTCCAGGTTGCGTCGTGTGTTCGAAGCTGCCAGCGAAAGGAACGTTGATCGTAGCTCTGGGGGTAGGAAAACCGTCCGGAGAGGGGTACCATTCTCCAGGTAGGCGGCCGGTTTGAAGGTGAAGCTGGATGGGTCCAAATTTGAACGGCCATCCCCATCATCCGCGACTGGCTTGACTTTCACCGGAGGAGCTGGAGCTTGTGTTTGAGCTGCGGATGCCAGGGGTATTGGGGAGATCTTGTCCGGTCTTGGGGGCGGCGATGGCCCATCTAAGACCACTGGCTGGAGAGGCTCAAATCGTTCTTTTGGAGGCCGCATCGGGGCCGCTGGGGAGGACATCGTCGCATCTCTCGCTCCGTTGGTCGTGGAGGGCGCAATATCTAGCGCCTTCTGGCGAGGCACTGTTGGGTACTTATACGCGGACGTAAAGGATCCTGCAGTCAACGGTCGCGCCGTGGATTCTGTTGCCTTCCTTTGACGGTCCGCATCGTGCGCATGGTCCATGTTGACCCTGACATCTTGTATCCGTCGACTCAAGTCATTGTCCGTGTCTGGGCCGTTTCTGTCCAGAGCGCTCCCCAAGTCACCCCAGATACCTGCCGTGCGTCGACGCTGCTCCTCTTCGGGTGTTCTTCCAGCTTGATGTACAGCTTTCCTGGCTGTGGCCCTCCGGTGTATTTCCGTCCTCGCTAATTTAACTGCCAGGTCTCGGTTCTCGCCAGCCTCCAGAGGCTTGGCAATACCTACCAATGCGGGATCCTGGGGCTGCTGCTGGTTGGGCCCGGTCTTGTTCGTTCCCAAGGGCGGGCTTCGAGCTTGGCGATCATTCATCAACTCTGTATAGCGTTTATATCGTTTATTGATTCGAGGTCTGAGGATTTCCAACTTTTTGAGATTCCTGTTGACATCCTTGTTTGCTTCCATCAGAGCTTTCCGATTCTGCTCATTTTTGGCTTCGGAATGTTTTGCCAGGTTCTCGAGAACCAACTGAGCATGGCGAAATAACAGGCAATACGCTTGTTCATCGTCTCCCTCTCGTTCGTAAATACCAGCCTGTAAAGGGCACTGCTGGTTAGCCCTCGGAGATTCAACGAAGTCGGTAGCATCAAACTGACCTCTCTCAGTAAATTCGTGGCGGTCCTTAACCAAAACCGCAGAGGAATCGAGGGGTTGTATTCATAGTTCTGCGCCTCTCGGGCGATTTCCTCGACCTTTCGAGGGGCTGAGGCCCCCGCGCCTGTGGCCGGAGGCATATGCGAGGCCATGACGGCACATACGAAGGGAGCGTGCGTGAGGGAAATCAGTAGTATAAGTTCCGGTAACCCGAAATGGCCAGGTTCCAAGCGACTCGTTCGATCATAAGGTGCAGCGAGGGATCATCGAGGTCTACCGCCACGGCGTGTGGGGACGTTCCGCATCGACGGAGCAGGCAGCCGGGCTCTGCGAAAACCTTGGGGGAAGTTGAGATCAATTATAAGCACTGAGAGATCTGTCGGATAATACTCGATCGATCAAAATAAGAATTGTGCTGTAGAAACAGCAGATCCCAGAGGCCGGAACATGCTTTGCAAAAAGGCTGGGAGCGAGTCGAAACAATGAAGCTAGGAACAGTGATTTTCAGCTCATTTATGGAATTTATTTAGTACGTATTTGCATTAAGAAAAATAAACTGCGGGTCCTTTTCCTCTTTGGTGTCCGTTCCCGCCGCCGCGGTTCTTAAAAGCTTCAACTCCAACTTTTTCCTTTACAATGGAATTGATTCGGTAGAGGTAAAAAGCACTATCCAGACCAATGATGGAGAGTCGGTGTGGGCGACCATACGACATCCCTGACTTGCACTTAAGATGAGATTCAACCGGTGGACGCCCATACCTCATGTTCCCTTAACACAGGCGCTGTATAAGTGCTTCCCTTTGACCGCAAAGAGGAAGTCCATTCGGAAGGCAGAAATAGCAAGTGAAAGCTTGTGCGGTGAGCTGCTCCTCAAGGCCAATATTATACAGAAGGAGACTCTAATGCGACAGGCTTCTTACATAGACGATGTTCTTCAACGCCTATCACCCTTCCTCCTTCGCAACCCTGCCGTGGACATTCTCGACCTATGGCCCGGCGCCGGACTATGGTCTTCGAAGATCAATGAGCTCCTCAAACCCCGCCGGCATGTCCTTATCGAACCTGATTTGACGTTATACAAGCCATTGCTCCAGCCATTGGCAGAGACCAACCCCAGCTATGAACTACTGTGTGCAGACATCCATGCTATTGCGGATTGGAAAAGTATACTATCGAAGCATTTCCCGGAGCAGGGACCATCGAACCGTGATGACAGCGGCATTTTGCCCAAGAACGATACGCTCCTTATCTTAGCCAACCTGCCTCCAGTTGCCTCAAAGAAGGACCACTATACCCCAGCACGCTGGTGGTCGGTTTTCATGGAGGCTTGTATGCACCAGACGGGATTGCATTCTTATGGAAGCGTGCGTATGATCGCATCACTCCCCATATCAGATGCACAACAGGTCGTTCCGCGGACCATCATAGAGCGCAAACGACCGGCACTGTGGACCGAGAACGTTGCATTGCATGCATTCGAAGTCGCGGCTCCAAGGGACCCCAGTACATGGGCTTTTCTGAAGGGATGGGATTTGGTGGCGGATAATGCCTCGCGCGTTGCTCAGAGAGCGGCAGAGCAGGGCGTTATCACACCTCCCGGCAGAGAATTACCGCCCATTCCCATGGCCCCAAAAAGTCCTGACCCGGGCAGATTACCGGTGCCTTACGTGCCGCGCCCTTTTACCGACTGGCACGAGAAAGTTTGGAAGAAAATCACTACCGGAGCGCCTGGAAAGGACGGCAAGATGAATCCAACGCAACAACGAGGCTGGATCCAACTGAACAAAGAGAACCGCGACATGTATTACCGCGTGCGCCAGGCTACAGGTATTGCCGAAATCGACGAACTGACAACCACCCTGTCACGGACGGCGGCAAAATCTCGCAAGACTTCGGCGGCACTGAAGCCCATTCTGAAGAATATTGAGGCCGCCAAGTCTCGCTTAGATCAGGGAGTGTCGGAAGTACACTACTCAGTAAGGAACGAAGTTCCCGTCATCGTTGATAACAAGCGAGCGGCTCTACAAACTGGAGACTTCGACAATGCAATCCTCCACTGGGACCGGCGCCCTTTTGAGCCATTGCTCATCAAACCCGAAGAACTCTATCCCCGGGAAACTGAGAGAAGCATCCTTTACTTCGAGGCCGACTCGAACCCACAAGCCCTGCAGAAACTCAACCAGCTGGATCCGGCGCAAAGGGATGCCCCTCTTCGCCTCTTCGAAGCCCTCTCTCTCACCATCGGCACCCGTAGCCTACTGACAGTCGCCGAGCTCCTGGAACTGATCTTCCCCGAACGACCCATCAACGACATCGTCAAGGCCATCCCCGGCCTAGCTGTCCTCGCAGCAAAAACCCCCAAGCCAGATTACGATAATCTGCCGAAGACCATCCACGGCTCTCCCGAGGCCTGCGAACCCCTCAACCCCGTCGCATGCTACCAGGAGAACCTGGACTACGACCTAAGCGACGTCCGAGTTCGTACGCTACCGACCAGCACACTGTGGGATATCTTCGTCGAGTACCAGAAGAAGGGCGATACGAGCCTCTCCACGGTGCAACTGAGTCGACTGCTCGGTGGGACGTTGACGTCCTTCCGGACCGGCGAACTCGAACCTCGGAAGAGATACCATTAGCATGTCTCATTCAGTACCTGCCTAAGAAATCTCACCCATATCCACTCTACTCACCCACTACTCTACTCACCGCCCTCCTTTGCCGCTCCGTGTGAGGGGGACTTTATACCCATATCTTCGGGATGTATACTACGTTTTATGAGTTGTGTATCTTGTATTATACTGTAACGGTTACGATCGATAAACGTATGTGCCTATATAATCACTTTTGATAGACTATCCATATACTAGAATTTTTCGTCTTTCACATCTTGCAATGGTTTTGCTACAGGTCTTGCATTGGTTTTTACTGTGCAGTGTGTGGGTTAAACGTTTGAATTGATATTCTAATACATGATAAGAAGTGAAAGCATTGGAGCGTATTCTAGAAACAAGTTCTCTTTGATATTGAGATGGTCTAGAACGAAAAACATGCTGAACATCCACACGTCGACACATGGCAGTCAAATAGGGTATCATTTAGTTGTTTATTGTGAGAGAAGAAAGAAAATATAGGGAAAGAAAAGGATAAGAATAGTAGGAGAACAGTAAGATATCGAGACCCCCTGGAAGAAAATAGAATAGAAGAAGGACAACAGAAGAGATAGACAAAACGGTCCCAATTGGTTCATATAATATGGTGAAATCGAACGGTATATGGTTGTGAAAAAAGTAGATGGAGAATATGTTATTGGGATGAGATCTTAGGCCATGGCAGCAACTAATTCTACCCATTTACTGGGTTGAATACGTTGAGATGGTTCCTTCGAAACGGCAGGTTTGATCACCTGTTCGACAGGTCCGTTACGAGGAACCCGGGAACCATTAGGGCCCGATTGGGCAAAGTCAATAACCCGGTGGCCTTCACGAGCCATGGCGAGTCGCTGCATATTGCTGGCGCCAGGATAAAGCAGCAGATCGCCTGTCGCCGCCGCGAGGAGGGTGACCGCTAGAGAAAACACATCGGCTGCGGGGGTGGGACTAGTGCCCGGGGACCTCAGAGATGACACAGACAACAGCTCGGGGGCGGCGAAAGGTGGTGTCAAAGCCGTTAATGACGTCCCTGTCTCTTTCTCTGCAGACAGCGAAGAGCCGGTGATGTTATGTGCGGATGAGAAATCGGCGAAAAGCGGTTCAAACGGGAATTCATCGGATTCTAGATCGTTGCCCGTGGGTCGTGATCTCAACAAGATGTTATGTGGCTTGATATCCCCGTGTACTATTTGGCACTGCGTGTGAAGCCAGTGTAAGCTGGTTATAAGCTTTTTTGCAAGCTCTTGCCACTGGGGCATGCCCTGCACAGGATCGAACATAGTCCGAGTGGACTTGTGTTTCTGGGCCAGGTCGGCCTTTTCTTCGATGTACGAGGCAAGAGAGAGGGGCACGGCTGACAGAACTATGGAATGTGATTCGGAAATGTACCCATGGAAAGGAATGACATGTCGCTCCGAACCCGGCATTCGACTAATCCGAGTTAAAGCCAACGCTTCGGCGTCCAGGACAGCGTGTGCATCTCGCCGGACAGGAGATTTGACCGCTACCACCCGACCTCCACTCGCAGGTGAACTAGGAGGGGTCATCAGGGGTGATATCGAAGCGGGGCGAGACGAAGCTTTGTAAACGACACTCCAAACACCACGGCCGAACTCAACCGGGCGGCCTTTCGGGTCATATTGAAACTCTAGCTCATCGGAATATTGAAGAGGGCTCGAGGGGCGCACATCAGCCCCAAAGAGATCTCTTGGCTTTTCTCCCTCGGATACAAACGAGCTTGAGCGACTTGATCCGGCCGTCCTCGTACCACTTGAGTAACTGTCATCGCCCTTCGTGGGGGTGACTGGAGGGGTCAGTCCCGGCACCACTGTTAGTGGTGTCACGGGCGAAGCCTTGTCATCTCGATTTTCGGTGGTGATCGATAATCGTATAGGAATGTGTGCAGCCATTGTGAAAGTAAACTATCCGGGGTGAGGAGAAGTTGGTCCCGGGGGTTAGGCACCTTATGCAGAGGGTAAGGTGCAAGAAGAAAGCAAATGTATGGTTCAGATAGATGTGAGATCAAGTCGCGTCTTGCTTTTGGATTAACTCTTAATAAAAGCCGACTTGAAGGTTGAGTGTATATCAATTAAGGGTGTAAATCAGTGACTAGATCAAGAAATGTTCTAGAAATCAAAGAAGGGGAGTGGGCAAGTGGTATATAAAGGCCGGTGGCAACGCTTGCGTACGGGTGATGTCCGGAGCCAAAGATTGGTTCGGAGGAATGAATGAGTCAAGCACTGGTCAGAGATTACTCGACATCGAGGTAATATATAGGGTGAGATAAAGATAACGAAATGATAGGAACGGCACACACAGCATAGTGGGATTAGAGATTAAAGATAAGAAGAAAAAGAAATCCACGACAGATCTAGAAAGAGGGGGGAGGAGCAAAGAAAAAGGAATGACTGGTATTGAGTCTGGACCCCAACGGAAATTTTTGCAACGTTCAATACCCTCAAAGAAACCGACCGAACCCAGAGAAATAAAAATAACAATAAAAAAAGGCGGACGATCGACAGATAGCTTAAAATTGTTCTGAAGGAACCGTGGATGAAACAGGGTATCAACTACGACTGTTGTAGGTTACAGTGACATACAGCCCGCTGATCATTTCCTCCCTTCTCTCCCCACATGGTTCTTCATTGTTGCTTCTTGACAGCGCGAACGGATTCAGATGTCGTGCCATCCTTGCTACCGGATGTCGGGAAACTACGTACGACGAATCCTGGGGGAGACAATGGCACCACTCCTCGGGGATCTCAATCTCATGATGGGTTCCTATTCCCAGATTCTGGTCATCCCTTTCACGCCGTCTCTCCTGTACGTCGCCTTTCATCTGTTATTTGTTGAAGGTTGGTATCCATGCCATACATAGTGTAACGGCCCCCCGAGCGTGCGACCAAACTCTTCCGGGAAATCCTGCAGCTTCCATCACGGACACTATGCCAAACTCAGCCTTAGTCTCCTGCACGAACTGTTCGGCTGCCCGAATTTAGTAAACCGGTGGATATCATCCTATCGCATCTCTTGCATTTCATCTCCGCCCTTAATTAATATTGACGCCGCTCCGCCGGCGAACTGAACGTCCCAATTTCTACGTGCTCTTCGGTGAAGGCCCGGGAGTTTGATGTGTAAACTAGAAAAGTTCGATCAAATGGCCGAGTCAGCGGAGAGACGCGGACGAAGAGCCCGATTACGTGGCATGCAGTCAGGTGACCCCATCAGAAATGAGCGCCCCTCTTCTCTCTCGTCCGAGGCTCCTCTTTTATTTTTGTTTTTATTTGATCTTATCTTGCAAACCGATGCACACCCTGGTCCATGCATGCCGGGATTTCCCTGGCTTCATGTGGTTGCGCGCGAATAGTAATGTCAGCGCCACTGCATTGCCTTCCTTGTTGCAGAGTACTGACCATGCCAACATTCCTTCGTTTCCGGGTTGGCCATGTTCTTGGACAACAATCTACCGAAACAGACGACGTTCTGACGCCGGAAGAATACCCATTGTTCCCGTGGATTGACGGAAACGCTGTGGGTAGTACTACTGCGCACTGGGCAGTAGAAGTTGTTGTATGAAACGGTAACACCGGTGCAGGTGTTCTGAACCAATCTCCACCCCCACGTGGGTCCTCATCTGCCAGGGAAATTGCACTCTCAATAGTACGCCCCACTCGTCCATCTTGGGATTTTCCTTTCCAATCTATCGATCATACAGGAGCAAGTATCCCGAGTACAAACTTACCGGAACTGCAGGAATTCATTTCAAGATCATGTAAGGGAGCAACAGATTGGCCAAACTAGCAGAGGCCATTGCTCGATCTACCAAGTACTTACTACTAGTACTACTAAGTACCAAGGACTACAGCTCATTAGTAGTAGACGCGGGGTATCAACTTATGTTCTGCAGTGAGCTGGAGCCTGGGGTTCTCAGGCTTGATATGACGTAACCGAGGTCTTCTCCAGTTCGAGTCATTGAATAGCCTCATGCGTCATGCTTTAGGGACCGTTCCCTGAATGGTCTTGTGCTTGGCCCTAGTGAGTTTTTACTAATACGCAATCAAGGAATCCATCTTATTAGGCGATATTATATCTCTTGCCGCTACACTCACCCCGTTTTCTAAATTATCCGGTGTCAGTTGATTTCCCATGTGAATTTTCATTTTGTATACTTGATCTACATTGTTTTCTGTCAACTTGTCCACCCCACAATCCATGTTTTCTTCTATGCCTCTTTGGGATGGCGCCCGACAAAAGTCCCGGAGTGTTGTATACGAGCAATCTAAATATCCAAGATATCTACTGATAAAATGCTGGCTAACTAGTACAACTCTAGTCAACACGTATCGACTTCAAACTGAGCGAGAGGAATAGTCCCTTCTGGCAACTCATAGACTAATTTCACAAATGCGCTCAACTTCCTTTTTGGCCTCCTACCACCAAATGCCATAGCAGCGATTCAATCTGGAAACTGTTACACAGACAGTGGAGAATACAATAGAAATAGAACTCTTCCTACTTACTCTGAATTGTCTCAAAGCGCTGTCTCAGACATAGATTCCGCAACAGGAAGGATGCCTATACTGAGTTCCATGAGTCAAAGCACCAAATCTGCCCTTCAATGCCGCAAGACCACTCCGTCCCTGTTTGACTCAGATTATCATTTGTTGCATGGGCAACCTGCATCTGGCTTGAGAAGGTACATGTACATGCAGAGCGCAGCAAGGCGGTTGGTCACTCCCTTGCTGTCATAGTTCTTCACAATCATACTTGTTATACTTCTTAGCTATAATACATTTTTAGCCCTTGTACTAGGAAATGATACGATAAACCCGTGCAGATGATCAATTATCTAGAAAAGAAGAATAAATCTTCAGGCGTCGACTAAGCGGGGTTTGACGAGCAGAATAATAGCGGTAGATCTTTCTATTTCACAGAAAGGAAAGGCAGTTGCGAAAAGGATTCTGGACGATGTTGAGGCGGCAGGGATCATTTATGCTCATGCTGTTGTATCATCCTACCGCTGTTTGACGTTTGCTACGATTGCTTTGTTCCTGATCACTAATGTCTCCCTTGTAATCATGTTCACCATTGCTGGTGCTATTAATTTTATTGATCAAACGCCCCCGGTACTATCATTATTATATCAGTAGACTGTCCTCTCGAACTAACTCAAATTAATCGTAGAGAATCACTTGGTCTCTAATCGTCGATTCGATTAAGCCAAGATCGTTCCTGTCTGTATAATAAATTTCAATACATCTTATATTGAAACATTTGCCTCCAATGCTACCATGTTAACAACCCGAAATCTGGAGACTGCTTGGCATTGATCAATGAGATTTCCATTCACTCTGAATACTTCTCAATTTCACGGAACATAGGGGAGATTTAGCTAATACAAATAACCGGGTATCAAGAAACAATCACCACCTAACTGTCCGTTTTCTGTCCTTCAACATACTGCTTCAAGTCCTGTACCCACGCCTCAAAGTTCTTTTTCAACTGGGCCCCAAACATCCACCGAACCACATACACAAGATACCCAACCTGCGCCTCCCAATTCCGCACCTCGGTGACACGCTTCGTCTGTCCATCTTCCTCCTGGACATCAAACTCCTCAACCTCATGAACCCTCTCCGCCGTCAAAAGGAATGCCGGCATGCTCCCCTTAGCCGTTAGATCCGCAACCCACACAATGCGTCCAGGCTTAGGGGGATTGGCACTCGGGGGCTCAAACTCAGTCACGACCAGGCCCACATCTTGCTCACTGGCCGACGATGGATCCATATGGACATGAAAGGTCATTTTAGTTCCCATCTGGAGCTTCGGGGAAAGATCATCGGGAGTAGACTGAGAGTCGGAGCCCGGCTGTTCGCGAATGGTGACCCGTGGAACGAATGTATTCCACGAGGGCCAGGTGGAGGTATCAATTAGGACATCCCAGACATCTTGGCAGGGGGCCGCGATCGACGTGGCGCTCTCGATATGCAGCACTGCGTCGGAGGCTGAGATGCTTGGGGTTGATTTGGACGCCAGTGTCGCGGCAGATGATGGTGGGGTAGATGTCATTATTCGATGGTGATTTGTTGGTGTGTATAGTAGAAGTTGTTATAGGAGCTCTGTTTGTTTGTGGTGATATTTGAAGGGAAATGACTGGTCATTATAAGCTTTGGCTCCGCCGGCAAGATAGCCGAGTTCCAGTGACCTCATCTGACATCCGCGCTAGTTGCCTAGTGCTCTTTTTTATGGTCGTTGGTTGCAAAGCTGCTACTAGTATCTAGTATTGGAATATAAGCTGGATGAACAATCTTATCCTGACAAGATGCTGAACTCTTCACAACTTGTATTTCGACATTGATCATAAAAATGCTAATTCAGATCTTGGCAGTCATTGACGACCACTCCGGGCTACTTCCGCTTTCTTAAAGCACTCAGGCCAGAGCCATGGAAGGAATAGAGTGTTTCCTTGAATATGTCCTTATCCCCTAAAACGGTTTCTGCGCCACAAACCGAAGTCGAATGTAATTAACTGTAAAGGAGCCATCGTGTTGATGCCTTCCAACACCCTCGAGGACGTCAACAGCATGTTTGACAGCTGCATTGCGAGCCTCCACAGTTGGTAAAACCTGAAGGAAAGGCTCACAGAAAAGGCGGATCCTAGAACTTGATTAGCGACTAATTTCTCTAGACACTGAATCACTCGAGTATATACCATCCTTCAATACCGCCTTCTTTGTGATCAGTCAGTTTTGTCTGTCTGAGTTCTGCCTCGCCCTTGACCCACTGGAAGCCTTCTCCTTCAAGAAGCTGTTTCATAGCTTCTTGGGAAGGGAACCACCAAGGTGAAGCTGCTCGGGCTTCTTCAACTGGAATTCCTTGAATGACCAGAGCACTGACGATTGCTGCATGCACCTCGGCTACGTTTCCGAGCGCACCGGATTCACTCACAAAAATTCCACCTGGCTTGAGCGCATTGAAGCAGCCCTTGACCATGTTAGACCGGGTTTCCGGGTCGCGTAAGATCCAATGTAAGGCAGCATTGGAGAAGACTTTGTCAAACTTTCCGTCAGTGAGATCTGACACTTGATCCAAACGTCGGCAGTCCACGACGCGGGATTCAATATCGGAATGTGTTCTTTGGAAGTGCTCTATCATATTCGGCGAGGCGTCAACGCCAACGATCCGTTTAACATGGGAGGCTAATTTGGCAGTTAGGACGCCGTCCCCGCAGCCGACGTCGAGGACTTCATCTGTTGTGCATTAGCAACACAAAACTAGACACGCTCTCTTGTCCATGTGAAGTAGCTTGCCGGTAGGCTTAGGATCGAGCCAGGAAACGATCTTCTCTGTCAAGACTGCAACGAATGGAGCCACTTTTTCGCCGTAAACATCGGCTGACCACATGTCGGCTTTCTGATCCTGTCCAGTCATTTTGGGCCACTTTCCACGAAATTAAGGCTCAATCAGTGATGCTCCTCTAATTATTACACCGGCTACCATAGCCTTTATAAGTAAATCATGAGGGTGGTATCAGAATAGAGACCAGGACCGACATCGGAGGGCGTGAGCATAGATAGAACTACAGAATAGCGGGCGGGAGGTTCCGTGCTGGTCGGCCGCTGCTAACCGCAGTCTTCCTCCATACAACATGCATACTGGTCAGCGTATTGTCCAGGCTAAAATGCGTCGCTGTGCGAACCTACAACCCTTGGACTACCGAGCAAAAATCTACGAGCACCCTGACATCTGCCCTTCTTATTTTAGTAGGTGAGCAGCGCCACCCTGAACTCACACGGTTGTGAGGGGCGGGTGATGGGGGCAGAATCTGATCAACGTGCGACTAAGGATGCCAGGTAGGGAAGGGTGAGATTGCAGATAGACTATCGAGCGTTCCAGTACTGATACTCCGTCCTATTAAAAGCCAGTCAGCGGTGGCGCAGTGACTGCTGTGATGGTCTCGGTGAACATAGGACCTTAACAATGTTGCATTCCTACGGGGACTTCGCGCGATGCGGTGTCTATTGACAATTTGGCATAGAGGCAGAAAAGAAATATTTGCTCACTTTATCTGAGCAGCAGGATGATTCCACAGATCTGAGACATCATACTCTGGAGGCGCATCAAAATCACACTCCAGAAGGCGTCTGGTTATAATCACTACTTCCTTCTTGGCCTGCTCCTCCGAGATGCGAATTCCACCCTTATTCTGTTCCCAGGTGATAGCTTCGATCTTCACACCAGTGTTGCTGTCACCGTCGCTTGGCTTCACAACAAGCATATAGATTTCCTTGCCCGTCCCGCTTCGAGCAAGGTGGATAGTGATGCTGCCGCTCCGGCTCTGATCCGTGACCAAGACGCGCCATTTGTCATCCTAATCCTGAGGCTCGAACCCGGCTTTGAGCTTCTTAAAATTGGCTTCGCTGATACTCAGACCCCACGGTGCAGTGGCAGGCTCCCGCATAGCGTACGTACGATCCGTGATTTGCGTAGCACACGAGCATGGAAATGCTCGGTGTTCTGAAGGCGGCACGTACCTCTGAGTGCTGTTGGAATAGGTGCTGCTATGAAATGACCCACAATTGTAGTTTAAACATGTACAGATCTACCAGAACACACCTTCCTTCTGCAGATCAACCTCGTCTGTGACAAGCTCTGAGAGATAAATAGGCATCCAAGCTCCTGCAGAGGGAAGCTGTCGTAATTTTGGTGGCCTGATCTTGCACTATGCGCAGTGTCACTCGCAGCGGACACTAACCATAAATATCTAATACCTAAATTTACATAGCCTATCATTCCCACGTAATGCACTTTCATGCTCCTGCAGGAAGCATGGTGACGGAGTGAGAGTCTCCCCGATATCGGGCCAGGTGCTAGCCCTAACTAACCTTCGACTTTTTTCATAGAACAGCTTACGCTGGTAAAACATGCTGTCTAGGGACTGTTTCTCGTTCTTATACTACCAACTCAAGAGGCGGCATGGACTTCCTCTTGGTTAATATACTATCTTTGAATTCTTCATAATATATGGATTCTCTCAACTGGTAAGATGGTTCGGTTGCTGAATGGATTGCAGTTCAGCCCAGTACTCTCGTGTCGTTTACCATTTAGAATTAGCTTACTATATATATATATATTGGAAGCGCTTATATGATCATTATATCTCTCAGCATATGCTCAGCTTCAGTTTCGATAAGTTCATGAGAAGTCTAAATGCGTACTATGGATGCCGGGGGGTCCAGAGCGTACATCTGCGAGGGAACCAACACATACGTGATAATCACCGCTAATCTAAATTTAGTGATTGCTTATACAGTTTCACTTGGAAAAATATATAGAAAGGGACTACTGAGTTCTGACTAGGCGATAACCCCGTCAAAATCACTTTCCTTTAATAGCTCGGGTAGCGATTTGGACTAAGAATCATACGTTGTTTAATTAACTATGCATCTGCCATGTTGATATGATTCAGCCTAGTAGACTCAGCTCCTGACTCCTGACTTCGTGATGGAAGGTATGTTTTTCTAGCCAGAGCTGGGTGGTTCTTAAAAACTCAGCTGGCTTTGGCCGACTTGAAGCAAATTAAGTTTTTGCTTATACGGCTGTATATACCTATCATGATGTGCGAGATGGGAGCAACTACTTACCCATTTAACCATTGGGATTAAAGTGGTGCTGTTAGAGGTAAAGATGCATGAAACTTTTTGAAACAGTCAGTTTGGGATCGCCATTACTAAGTATTTGACACTTTATAACTATCACATGGTATGCTATTATGATTGTTAATGGGAATGGAGCCGACGCTCTGGCATAGCTCCAAAAACCCCAAAACAAAATAACACAGTTAGCAATATACAAGCATAGGTCAGGCCTTAGGACTCCTCGAGGCTTTTTCGGATCAAGGCAAGTACTGTACCGCAGGTCCGCAGCCAAGAGTAATAGACATTTGGTCGACGGCATAATTTCTCCACCAATTCGAGGCCAAGCTGTGGAGACGGAAGCACGGCTAGGACATGGCTTCTTAGCACTCCAACGCCAATTTCTCCGGGCAGTGGGTCGATGTACCTGCTATTTGGGGTCATCTCGTAACAAGTAAAGGCAATCCAATGCTTCGCACAGCAGTGTACCCCGTTCGAGTGAGGATATAAAGACCAGCGACTGGGCAGGATAGCCATGTAGTCTTCCTCTATTATCTTTTGTCAGTGATTATTGTCCCTCCAACCGGCATACACTATGCTAACCCCCAAGACAGCCTTTCTGGCTTTCCTCCTTTCTTCCGTGCCCCTGGCACACGGCGCAGCAGGAAATAGCTCTTCGCCCGATGCCCGAGGCCGTCGTTGTGTGGTACGCTCTTCCAATGGCACTGCAGACGACTCCCACGAAGTGTCTAGAGTCTTCGCGCAATGCGCGACCAACTCAGTCATTGTCTTCCAAGAAGGCGTTGACTATAACATTTTCCAGCCGATCAAGGCCACAAATCTGAGCAACGTGGAGATACAGATGCATGGAAACCTGCATCTTCCGCAAAACATCTCGGCAGTGCGGGACATTGTTAATGCAGGCACTTCTACTTGGTTTACTTTGGAAGGACCCCGTGTGGATTGGACTGGGCCCGAAGATGTGAACAATGGTTGGATTAAATCCTACGGCCAGGCCTGGTGGGACGCAAACCCTCCCAATGGCACTGGAATCTCCGGCCGGCCTCATCTCATGAGCTACAAAACCAGCCAGGCGTCGATCAAATACTTCAGGTCTGGCAAGCCGATTGCTTGGAACATGAAGCTTCATGGTGAAGATATCACTGTCAGCCACGCCATTGTGGACGCTTCATCTACTGGCAGCTTCCCATTCAACACTGATGCGTTCGACATTAAGGGTACCAATATCCGCATTTCTGACAGCGTGATGTATAATGGCGACGATGCGATCGCAGTCGGATCCGAATCACACAACATTGTATTCGAGAGAAATACGATTGGCTACCAATCCCATGGTATGAGCATTGGATCGCTAGGAAAAGATCCCTCGGACATTGTCAACATAACCAACCTCAGATTTGAGGACGTAACCGTGATCGACGCTCTGTACGCTGCTCGCTTCAAGTCCTGGACGGGTGGCCAGGGGCTCGTCCAGAACGTGACTTGGAAAAACATTCGTGTATACAACGTAACGTTCCCGATCTTTGTAACCCAGAGTTACTATGACCAAAGCGTCTCGCGAGATGGTGCTGATGCCGAGTCCTCAGTGATGATGGAGGACTTTACCTGGGAAGACTTCTCCGGCTCAATTAACTCGTATCAACCCGGTGATGGATCATGCGCAACCGACCCTTGCTGGTATAACGCCGGACTTCCGAACTTGAAGCACACGGAGGCAGTCATAATAGAGTGCAACACGGACAAGTCCTGTAAGAACTTTGTTACAAAGAACATCCAACTCTATCCACAAGCTCTGGAACCAGCAAGCGTCATCTGCATGAAGGCTACGGCAGAGCTGAATCCAAACCTGGGGTTCAGCTGTAGCAATGGGACATTCACTTCAGTATAACCTCTCGATAGTCATAGTCATTGAGAGATATCATGTATATAGATACACATGCTTTCTACATCTGTCAATCGGTCGCCAGTACGTACTGTGGCCGTGACTTTCAGGCGTTGTACTTTCCCAGACGGTTGAATGCAGCCGTGACTTCCCTCAATGACATGCATGTAGTCAGCACTTAATATCCTCTCGAATCTCAGACTTTCACTATTCAACCATCTCTCTCTTATCGTCATCTGTCATTTACTTTTCTAACACTCGCTACTACCACAGTCATTCGTTATTCTTCTCTTACACTCAGCCATATTACTTACTTCATGCTACAACCATATCCCAGGTTCTATATCATTCGGCCTCAAGGTTCATTTGTGCCCTTGATCCCAGTCGACGAGCTACCGACGTGGATTCAAGTTGGAAACTGGGACTGGAATGATATGTCATTGTTCACTGCCATGGCTCCTGCTAGTTTCAGCTCTATCCCGCGCATCGGTGAATACGACGTCGTCTGCCACCACTGCAGCGCCAGTCTCGATAGTCTTCATCGAAGCGTCTCGGAGCAGAGCGGGAAGACTAGACATAGCTCTCAGTACCCTCCCTTACCACTTACGAAACCAAACAAGACCTACGCCGGTGCATTTCTCTCACAGTCATCACAGGAGGCACTTTCTCCTCTGGCCTCAAGCTATCTAATGTCCTTGAAACAGCCGCTCTTTTACACATCTGGATACCCTGCATGTTTCACCGAACCCCCTTATTATGCGAATCTGCAGAGCCCTTTTGTTGGAGTGTGTTTCATTAAAGGCATCTGCCAAAGGCGTCGAGAACGAACGAACGAATCGATATCTTTGAAAGATTTACGTAAACAACAGAACCGGAATAGTCAAGAACTAACCGCTGACGAGTTTCTGGATCCTGAGGATCCTCCAGCTCCTGCCAATTTGCCAAGCGCTCCAAATCCGCAAACCGCTGCGGCTGGCCTGAGTGCTCAGGGCCAACCCCAGAGTAATCAGGCGTATGACCCCGACGAGATCACAGAGGTAAACGACAATGTAGGCAATGCACCTGCCGCACCGTTGTCGGGTGATGAGATCCAGGAAATGGGAGGAAGTCTTACACCAGCGTCCCCGTCGAAGTCCAAGCAACAGAATCCCGCTAGAGAGGAACCGCAACCAGTTCCTATACCACCAAAGTCCCCGTTGAGGTCCGCGCCACAGGAGCACGATCATCCTGCTACAAGAGAAACACAACCAGTTCCTATACAAGGGGCATCATCGGGGCCCAAGCCATATGGATCTAATTACCATCCTAAGCATAAGACGGGCTCACACCCAAACAAACACGAGGAGCTCCCAACATTTCCCGTCGACCAGTCACTCATTTTTCCACACTCGCCCTCCGACACTAGTCTAGATAGCAGATTGAGGATAGGTACTCAATCTGCTCGGTACGAGGACATGGACCTGTATGATATCTCACGCCGCTCATGTGAGGCTTCACCTCAAACCACAAAATCGCCGTTACCACAAGCATCTTCAAAACGACGTTTGAAGGCGAGGGGGTTCAAGCCATTTTCATTATTCTAACGTAGGGGAAAACCTACACGGGTGGCTTGGAACTACGGAGAATGCATGACTATAAGATTGAAAGTGTGCACTCTTTATGATTTGCTTATTACTATCACGGGCTACCACATTACTAGCTTTTGTTCTCCAGCTGCTCTTGATCGCCATACTTCGTTAATTTAGGTAGATCCTAGAGGTTGCTCATTGTCCAATGTTGAATGGTGCATCTGGCTGGAGTACACATCACAACCTTCACCGTCGGAATAGCCTCTGTAAGCTACTGGACGTCTACTAGACATGGTCCATACCGAGTATATTCCGGTGTGCAACAAAAGACACCGTTGCACAAGTCTACGGACTGGTGTCGTTAGCAATGATATACGTAAGAAACAAGGATGATAAATCCAAGAAACCAAATCCAGACCACCAAACCAACAAAAGAAAAGGGTATCTATATCTCTCTATTCTATCTCCAGAACGCAATAATCAAGATCTCCCCCCCAAAAATCAACCCCGACCTACCGAAAAACTCCTCCCGGAAGGCCTCAACCCACGCTGAGAATGCGTCTCCTCCGCACTATCCGCCGAATTCAGATCCCAATGAACCTCACTCACGACCTGAATCCCATCCACCTCCGGATGCCGATGCATACTCGGATCCCTGCCATCATGATTCGTCGAACAGTTCCCCGTCACACTCGCCGAGTAACTATGATTCTGGAACCGGAACGGATTCGGCATGTAGAGGCCGTCACACGCCGGTTTCTCTGATTGGCTGCGGTCCTGGGAGAGGAAGATACGGGGGCAGATGTGTACGATGATGGGACGGAGAGGCGGCAGACAGGCGCAGATGATGGCGACGCTGGCTTCAATGAAGGACCAGTTTGCTGCGGCGGCGTTGTATTCTGGGGGTTTGTTGTTAGTTGATGGGTAGGTTTGGGATTTACCAGGGGGGTATGTATGTATGTATGTATGTTACTTACTTGTTCGGTCTGTGCTTTGGATCATTTGAACGAGGGCTGTTAGGCGAACTATGCTTACTGCGCAGCCACTGGGATCAGATACCGTTAGTTTCACATTGTGTATATTGGAAGCTGGAAGTTGAAAGTTGAACGTTGGAAAGGGAGGTAGACGAACAAAGTTCCCAATGCGAAAACCAAGATCAGCGCGATCTTCTGCTTCCTAGGTAACTGGAGCTTGGCCAGTAGCGGCATGGGCAGAATGACGATAGTCATGTCGGTGACTATCTGGAGGGCGGCATTGAGGCTCCAGAGGACTTCTCTGGGGATACATTTTTGGGGACTGGAGAGGTCCCAGGCGCCGCGGATGGGGATGCACATGAAGAAGGAGGCGAAGACCATCCACAGGCCGGTGATGATGACGAAGATCAGGACGATGACCAGGACGACGTGATAGGTTCTCAGCGGGAAGAGGCGCAGATACAGCAGGACCATGGAGGCCTTGGTTAGGTTGAGACTTAGGTTGTATAATGGGATGCTGGCCCATAAGGCCTGGGTGAGATAGATGTGTTAGGTACGTGTTGTGATTATAGGACATATGTGTATGTGTGGATAGGTATACCTTGAGTTGACTCTCGACGGTCTCCAGGCTGAGTGTTTCCATGCTTTCTCCTAGGCCATGGCGCACCTCTGAGGATCGGTATTAGTGGCGTTTTGGGAAAGAACGTAAAGTGATGCATGGTTGGTTACCTATCATGATACAGACGAATAGCCCGATCTCTGCGAGCTGGAATGGAATGGCTTTCATTAGTTCCATAGCACGTTCTGTTCTTCTTTATCGGTTGACACATACCAGGGCGAACCCAATCACCAGATCATCCCAGCCCGCCGTTCGGACAAAATAGAGTCGAGTGTATAGGCGCACAAGGACTATCACTATCGATACCACGAGAAAGGTCACGGTGACCGGTACCACGTACATCCTGCGATTTGGTGGTGGTTACCATAGAGTGGCTGCATGGTTTGACCCCCGGTAGAATATCTTCTGAACGACTTCTGTCCTGGCATGGCTGAGGGGTTTCAAACGCAGGCACCGAAACTTTTCCAAGCATTTGTGGCCAATTGTCCAGCCATTGACGAAAGCGATGTATATTCAGAATCAATTGCGTCAAGAGTCCCGGGAATTTCTTAGCCCTAGTACCCCATTGGGCAATCCGGCAGTTGCATCCATGGTTCCCGCCCTGCATGATTCAAGCAGCCACAGACAACTCGGCAATTCACGAGGTGGACCCAAGAAGTCCCTTGGGCTGGGCCCTCAGGGGCAATTGAGTTGCGTTCAATAGCATACTTTCGTGTTTCATGGCACTCGAACACAGTGAGCCAACGTTATCCAAGAATGCACAGAGGGAGTAAAAGGCACAAATGTCGGTGCTATCCTACATAGATTTCACAATGAAGATAAAAATGGGTAATTGCAAAGTAAAATATACATTGTAGTCGTCTGTTATATGCTATCTTTACTCAGTCATGACTGCAACCCTCAGGCTGCACGCTAGAATTTATACCAACTTGAAAACATTAAACCCGCAAAAGCCCTTAAAGTCTAGACTTGAGGTTGCTCTTCAGCCTCCGCTCAACGGCCTCCATGTACTCGCGGGTGGTGACCCATGCCTCACGATCCTTGCGGCCACAGGCGAGAGCCAGGTCCTTGGTCATGATGCCCTCGTCGTTCACGACTTCGATACAGGCACGCTCCAACTCCTCGGCGAAAGCAACCACGTCGGGGGTCTCGTCGAGCTTGCCACGCTGCACCAGACCACGGGTCCAGGCAAAGATGGAGGCAATGGGGTTGGTCGAGGTCTCACGACCCTTCTGGTGCTCACGGTAGTGACGGGTCACGGTGCCGTGAGCGGCTTCAGACTCGAAGGCGTCACCGCTGGGGGTGGTCAGAGTAGAGGTCATCAGACCCAGGGAGCCGAAGCCCTGGGCGACGATGTCCGACTGAACATCACCGTCATAGTCTAGTCACCCTCAGTTAGAACGCTGCTCTTGGTCAAACGGTCCAAAGCCGGTACAAGTCACTTACTCTTAAGAGCCATAACGAAACCACCCTCGCTCTTGATCATCTGAGCGACCATGTCGTCGATCAGACGGTGCTCATACCAGATGTTCTTGGCGTCGAAATCCTTCTTGTAGGTAGACTCGTAGATCTCCTGGAAGATATCCTTGAAGCGACCATCGTACTTCTTCAGGATGGTGTTCTTGGTGCTCATGTACAGAGGCAGGCCCTTCAGCAAGGCCATCTGGAAACTGGCGTGAGCGAAGCCTTGGATGGACTCGTCAGTGTTGTACTGAGTCTGAGTAACACCGCCGCCCTGGAAGTCGTAGACCTTGACGGTCTCGGGCTCGCCATTGACAGGGGTGTAGACCAGCTCAAGCTTGCCGGGGCCGGGGATCACACGGTCAGTGGCACGGTACTGGTCACCGAAAGCGTGACGTCCAATGATGATAGGCTTGCTCCATCCGGGTACGAGACGGGGAACGCGGGGAATGATGATGGGTTCACGGAAGACAGTTCCGCCGCTGCAAGTGATGTTAGTGATCATGCAACCGACTAGCGTAGGCCATGTAGGTTTGGCAGTACGTACAGAATGTTTCTGATGGTTCCGTTGGGAGAAAGCCACACTAAAAAAATACCCCGGTTAACGGACGTATACGATGCGACTGTTCAATCCGGCACCTACTCTTCTTCAACTTGAACTCCTCAACACGGGCTTCATCGGGGGTGATGGTAGCACACTTGACACCAACACCATACTTCTTGATGGCCTCTGCGGCCTCAACGGTGACCTTGTCATCGGTCTGGTCACGGTATTCAAGTCCCTGCCAAGGTGTCAGCGTCAGGAAAGTTTCGTGCGATCTGCGCCGAAGTGTCAATCATACCAGGTCGTAGTACTTGAGATCAATGTCAAGGTAACTGGTCTCGGAAGTTAGCTACATTGTGCCGCCGGTAAAGAGCGCAGGTCACCATAGGCTTACGGCAAGATCAACTATGGGGAAGAAGCAAGTCAGTCTCAAGGGTTCGGGGAGGAACGGCCCGCGTGATGCAAGGCCAGGGACCGCGGGTACTAACCTTCTCTCTGATCTCCTGCCAGATAATACGGGTCATCTAAGAAAAGCAAAAAGTGATCAGCCACATGTGAAATGCCATGACACGGACAGACTATGGTTGGCCGAGCGCTCGTGACCCTCGGAAGATTGGCGCTGTGTGGCCAGGGAACATGGAGACATCTCGCCGTGTTTCCCCGCGTTTGCGCCAGGTCATGACGAAAACGACCAGGACGGGGTTGAGACATATAAAAACAAGGGCGCGCCCTGCCACCGGGCCAAGTCTAGATTGTCGAACTTACCTCATCTCCGTCCAGTTCCACCACTGGGTTCTTAACCTTGATCTTGGGGCCTTCGGTTGCCATGGTGCGGGCTTGTGTCCACTGCAAAGGAGAGATTCCGGTCTGGCGGGGGGAGACAATACGAGGGAACTGAGACGAAGCGAGGGGTCTCTGAGCGCGAGGGGTAGCAGCAGTCGAGAAAGAGGAAGAAGACGAAGAAGAAATGTAAGAAGAAGAGCGGGAGATCGAGCGATAAGCGGAGGAAGAGAGAGGGGCAGACAGAGGGGAGGCGACAGCGCGGCGAACCGACGCGGAATGGAGCCGAAGGGAATTCATCATTTTGATCGGACCTGATGCCTTGGATACCCAAGCGGATTAACGATCGGTAATCGCAACTTCCAGGAAAACCCCCCTGCTTACCTATTCAGGTCTGGGGTACACCAAAGACAATTAACGTATACCCGAGGGAATCGCTTGAAGCTTTTCGGTTGGAAGGAGAGAGCGGGCGGTGGAGTCGGAAGCTCCCGTCACGCCGGAGAAAGCTGCTGATAGATGGATATACCACGGGGGAGATCGGAGCTCCGGAAAATATGTTAGTTCCCAGGTGGAACGGTTGATTAGTCGGAGGGATTCTGGAGGTCGTAGGGAAAAGAGTACAGGAGAGAGAGGAGAGTTCGAAGGATAAAAGAAGTTGACCAAAGTCACGACTTTTATCTGGCCCAAAGCAGAAGCCTTTATCCCCCCCCTCTTGACTCAATTGTTTTGGTCGCAACTTCCTTTTCCGCCCACCGTGTGCAAGGCCCTACGCCGAAGCCGGCCGGAAATTTCCCACTACTCCCCGTAAAGAATGAGGCGGGCAAAGGATGGATCCTCGGTCCCTCCCCATCTATAGTGTGCTACTAACTACTACTACTAATACTACTACTATGTCGCAAAGAGAGAAGTCATGCTCCGTGGCCGGTCGGCACTTATGATTATAACTCCCTTCCGGACGACTATTCATACTTGGTGAATTTGATTATCCTTCACTCTTTCCTTCGTCTGGTCCTTCTTGTCCTACCCCAGCGTTACACTGGAAATCTTTTACCCGCGACTGTCCATCATATGTCTGATAGGCAGGAGGCACGAGCCCAGATGGAGCCAACCGCCCTCCCTTAGCCGCCGTTTCCCGCGGTAACGGGCCAACAATCTCCGCCCGGATCAAGCTGCACCGAAGTCGCCTTTCCACCGCGCGGTCGAAACTAGCGATATACGGACACTCCTTCCATCTCTCGCCCGACAGTCAAACTTATTCCGCTAGTTACTCAGAGGAACCCATCGTGATTAATTAACTCCATTCACTCGTAATACTGTACTTTATATAGTAATCTGATCTTTCTAAGAAGTTTTATCATGTCAACTCCGCCCGCCCAACTTGTTGAAAAGCACCCAATCCTGTTCCGAAGCTGGTGCGCCATCACGCTTGTATATGTTGAATTCAACCCGAGAATCCTGCCGTATCTTGATAGCACAGAACAAATGATGTATATCAGATTAAGAGAAAGAAAGCACTGGGAAACAGGTTACGCCAAAGGTCCCAGGATCGATCCAGTCGACCACATAGCTCATCTAAAACAGTCCGTCGATTTCTCCGGTCTCGGTATCAATATCGACGTTCAAGTAACCTGGAGCGGTCGGCAGACCAGGAATGGTTTGAATATCCGCAGCGAGGGCGTACCTGCAATCTAATCAGTATACGTTCTGGGTACAAGGTCAATAAGGGGCAGTCTTACAGATATCCACCGCCCACAGCCAACCGAACATCCCGGATGGGGACTGTGAACCCGGTCGGCGCGCCCTTCAAGGCGGGGTCATGGCTGAGAGAGTACTGAGTCTTGGCAACGCAAATAGGAAGGTGTCCAAATCCTTGGGCCGTGTAGGTGTCGACCTTCTTCTGTGCAAGCTCGCTGAGTTCAACCTTCTCCGCGCCGTACATGGCCTTGCCAATGCGTTCAATGCGCTCGTGGATGGTACCTTCCAGCTCGTACAAGAGCTTGAAGTCCTTTGGCTTGGAGCTAGCTGCCAGAACACCCTTAGCCAGGTCCACAGCGCCAGCTCCACCCTCAGCCCAGTGGTTAGCGGGGATCGCGTCCTCGGCTCCTGCAGCGATGGCCTCCTCCCGGATGACAGCAATTTCCGCTTCGGTGTCAGTCTCCATGCGATTAATGGCAACCACCACGGGCACACCGTACTGGCGGGCATTCTCAATATGCTTCTTCAGGTTGACACAGCCCTTGCGCAGAATGTCGACGTTCTCGGTACGGTAGACTTCGTTCAGCGGGGCTCCGGGGCTAATCTCCGGGCCACCACCGTGAACCTTAAGAGCACGGACGGTGGCCACAATGACCACAGTGTCCGGAGTCAACCCAGAAGACCGACACTTGATGTTGAAGAAACGCTCTCCACCCATGGTGAAGTCAAAACCAGCCTCCGTTACAACGAAACCAGTCTTGGCCTCATGGTCCTCATCGGGTTCCGTGCCGGCGAGTTTCAGAGCCAACTTGTCCGCAATCACGGAACTAGCTCCAATACTGATGTTGGCAAAGGGACCAGCATGCACCAAAACGGGCGTTCCCTCCAAGCTTTGCATGAGGTTAGGCTTGATAGCATCCTTCATAAGGGCAGCAAGAGCACCACCAGCGCCAATGTCGTCGCAGGTGACGGGATCACCGCTCCTCGATGTAGCAACGACCATCCGACCCAGTCTGTCGCGCATATCCTCCAGGCTGTTGCTCAGAGCAAGGATGGCCATACACTCACTAGCGACAGAGATATCGAACCCAGTTTCACGAGTCAGTCCCTTCTCCGTAGGTGCCTGGCCAACAGTAATGCCACGTAGGTGTCTGTCATTGACATCCAGGACACGGCGCCAAGTAATGGTTTCTGGGTCGATATCAAGGCGCGCGAACCGACGAATCTCCTCATCGGTCAGTTCGTCCGGGTTGGTCTTGGTGATACCCAACTTGTTCAGTCTCTTGAACATGACGGGTTGGAATTCGCGCTTGCCCTTCTTGGCGGGGACCAATCGCTTGTAGAGGGGACCATCCTTCTGGGTGGCTTCGTGGAACATGCGGGTTTCGATAGCGGCGGCAAGAAGGTTGTTCGCAGCAGTAATCGCATGAATATCACCGGTCAAATGCAAATTGAACTCATCCATGGGAATCACCTGACTGTAGCCACCACCGGCAGCTCCGCCCTTGATGCCGAATGTAGGGCCCTGGCTGGGCTGACGGACATTGGCGAATACAATGCGATTCAAGTGGGCACCAATAGCCTGAGTAAGACCCAGAGTAGTTGTCGACTTGCCCTCCCCAAGCGGCGTAGGGGTAATACCACACACCAAGATGTATTTTCCATTGCGGCGATGAGCCAAGCGATTGAGAACGTCGAGACTTACTTTAGCTTTAGTATGACCGTAAGGCTCGAGCTCGTGGACAGCAATGCCAACTTCCGAAGCAACCTGTGTGATTGCCTTGGGGTACTGTGCGCGGGAGATGGCAATGTCAGAAGGCACGGGGCGAGCCAGCTTGAGCGGCAATGGGGTGATGTGTCTGTCCTTCTGCTTCTCAAAGTACGCCTTGGCAGAGTTAACCACATTCTGCATCAGCATGGCCACCGTCATGGGACCGACACCACCAGGCACGGGGGTGATCTGAGAAGCCACCTGAACGGCGGACTCGAAATCGACATCGCCAACCAGTCGCTGGCCCGACTTCTTTGAAGGATCGGGCTTGTAGTTGATACCGACGTCAATGACAACAACTCCGGGCTTTAACCACTCGCCCTTGACAAACTCTGTTTTTCCAAGGGCGGCGACGAGAATGTCCGCCGTCTTGATGATACTTTCGACGTCAGGTGTCTTGCTGTGACACAGTGTCACAGTTGCGTCGGCCTTGTTCAACAGATAGCTAACAGGGCTGCCAACAATATCACTCCGACCAAGCACCACTGCCTTCTTACCCGCCGGGTTGACTCCACTGACTCGCAGGAGCTCCATCACGGCCTGTGGTGTGCAAGGAACAAAGAGGGGGTGGCCGCCTCTCTTGGCCAGTTCACCGATATTGACTGCTCCGAAGCCGTCAACATCTTTCTCGTCGGCCACGGCAGAGGTGATGGTATGTTCAGACATGTGTTGTGGAAGGGGCAATTGGACGAGAATGCCGTGCACGGAGGGGTCATTGTTGGCCCTGATGATATCCTGAAGGAGCTCGGATTCGATAGCAGTCTCTGGCAAGTTGACAATCTTGCAGCTGATGCCCGCCTAGACGAAGGGAGTTGGTCAGCCAGGTGAGACGCATTGTGGAAGAGAGGGGGGGAGCTTACCTCTTCGGCGGCCTTCAACTTCATGCGCACATATGTGCCTTGAAAAAAAAGATTAGTTGACATTCCGGAGTTTGAAGTGTGTTATACAAAGAACTCACTTGAATCCGATCTGCTGCCCACTATAGACGATACACGGTCAGCAATTTCGTACGTTTGGGGGTGGGTTAGTCGGTTATGAGTCCGTAGGAATGCGCACCCTGGAAGATAACTAAGCTGGGCTTGAATCTGGGATTAGCCTCCTGGATCTGCTGGATCTCATTCTTCAGACCCGCCCGAATATCCTTGGCGATCTGCGTGCCATCGATCTTAGTGGCTGCCATGGTGGTTCCGGTGCTGTAGGATGAACGATGGATAGAGAACGGCGTCGCAGTGAACCCCTTATAAGCTGTGGGGTTGGGTCGAAGGGCCCGTAAAGTACCGTAACTAAGTGAGCCGACCCCGCGCCCTGCGGAGGATTCTCGTGGTCTGAGGAGAAAGGAGGATGAGATCCGGGGAAAGGAGAGGGGGGGAGGTGAGGAGGTATGGAGGTGACGAGAATTGAAGAAGAAACATTTTGCTTTGGCACCTTGGTGGTGTTGGAAGTGGCAGCGGGGTAGTGCCGCCGAACGGGCGGGGGAGCTAAATGGCATTGATTTGCTTCGTCGGGGACTTTGGCTGGGCTGGCCAGCAGCAAACCCTCGGGAAACGCAGGGAGGAAGAATTGGAGATAGGGAAAAACGCCCGTCAACCCCAAGGATTACCTAACCGTGTTGAATAACACGCAATTAAGATTATGCTTTATACAGAAAATGAATCGGGGGTTCAACAGTGCAACCATCCCTGCCAGTCTCCGAAATCTCCAATTTCTTCATCTCAGGGATTCCGTTTCAATATCTTCATTTGGGGGGTCAACTTGTCTAGAAGGTTTCTTTGGGGTTGCACATGATCGGCCCGTCCAGTGAAGTCGGAGCGTTAAAAGGGACTTGGCAACGAGTCAGCCCGAGGGGAACCGTTAGTTCTCACCCGACTATGCCTAGTATGGACAAGACCTCTGCAGTCACTCACGGGTGAGTCAACAAGCTAGGGCTGTCGAAAGTCACGCGAATAGGTTACCATACCGGATTATCAATGCGCCGATACAGGCATTTTTCATGACAGGAACAGCCTCGAACAGGAAAAGTCTTGGCGCGCGAGCCCGGACTGTGCGATGAAATTCACTAGTCTGACTACGCCGACGAAGAGAGCCGCCAGCAGCACCCCGCCAGCAGTTCCGCCTCAGAATCGATACAGTCGGTCCCAGGATCCAATCTGTGATCTAATACCTCAATCCTCTCGTCACTTCCCCAAATATCATAGCCTGGTCGGCCCAATATGAGGCCTATTTTGCTTTCGGGCCATGTGCGTTCGCCTTACCACCATCCCGATGATTCTCTTTTTTCACACGGCAATGAAAAATAAAAAACAGAACCAGCCACTGACAGAGACTTTGCGCATAGGAACGGTCCCTCAACCAGATCAAATTCAACCGCGATGGCGACCTTTTGTTTTCTGTAGCGAAGGATAAGATTGTGTGCGCTTGGTGGTCGGCTAACGGCGAGCGACTCGGTACCTATAACGGACACCAGGGTGCTATCTGGACCGTCGATGTGAGCCCCAACACCATTATCCTGGCCACCGGATCGGCCGACAACACCGTGCGACTATGGAACGTGAAGACGGGCGAGTGTATCAAGGTGTGGGATTTCCCTACGGCTGTCAAGCGGGTCGAATTCACTCCGGATGGAAGCAGGCTGCTGGCTGTCACAGAGAAGCGTATGGGCTTCTTGGGTACCATCGCCGTGCTCGATATCAACTATGAGGATTTGGATGCTCAGGCCGAAGAACCCAGCTTGAGGATCACCTGCACAGAGAGCAAGGCAACAGTTGCGGGCTGGAGTTATTTGGGCAAGTACATCATTGCTGGTCACGAGGACGGTAGCGTCAGCCAGTACGATTCGAAGGTGCGGAAAAATCGATCAAGGAAGAAAAGGAGGCCGTGCTAATTGACCGTTGCAATAGACCGGTGAGCAGCTGGAGAACGTTCAGGCACACGAGTTCGACAGCTTGATCAGCGATATTCAATTCTCCGCAGACCGCACATATTTCATCACCGCTTCCAAAGACAAGTCCGCCAAGGTATGCCACTTCCTTTAGAGAACTGGTAGCACGGCAGTATACTGACTGAGTCTAGCTCATTTCCAGCCGTAACCTCGCCATCCTCAAGACCTATGTTGCCGACACTCCCCTCAACAGCGCTACTATTACTCCCAAGAAGGAATACGTGATCCTGGGTGGTGGTCAGGCTGCCATGGATGTCACTACTACCTCCGCTCGTCAGGGTAAATTCGAGGCTCGTTTCTACCACAAGGTCTTCGAAGACGAGATTGGCCGTGTCCGTGGCCACTTCGGTCCCCTCAACACTGTCGCTGTCCACCCTGCCGGTACCGCCTACGCCTCTGGTGGTGAGGACGGTTACGTTCGTGTTCACCACTTCGACAAGCCCTACTTTGATTTCATGTATGAAGTGGAGAGGGAGCAGCTGCGCAAATAAAGTGATTGGTGTTTAAAAAGAGCTTTTTTCCTATTAACGCATGTGTCATGAGGCGAAGACATTTCTTACCACCAAAAAGAGTAGAAAAGGCAAAGCAGGCACGGCGGTACGAGAAGTTCTCGGGGCGGTTTAGGGCATGAATTCTCATTTCATTGATTCCATGATAAAGTCGGAGTTGGTACCATTTTCCTTTTCTGGTCGCTTTCTGTGTCCTAATAAAAGAACCCAGTATTTGCTTCTTACAATTTTGCTTCAAAGTTCATACTTGATCATCATAAATATATCTCTTCGTCGGCAATTTGCTAGGTAGCACTCTATCAACATCTAGATATAAACCATATAAATCCCAGCATGCACCGACAACGGCATCACGATGGATTTGAGGTAGTATTTTATATGAAAAAAAGAAAAAGAAAAAAAAATCATCTCAATGCCAGGTCAGCGCTCTTCCGACCAGCAGAAAGTAATGGGGATCTCATTGCACAATAAAATGCATTAACGTAACAACCGAAAGGACATCCGGGGATATCAGGAAAGAGGAAGGAAGAAAGAGAAGGGTTTCATAAAAAAAGCATCCCATCCCGTCAAGAAAAAGCCGCAGGCTCACCCCCGGTCAATTTACTTTTTCTTGGGGAACTTCTCCTTTCCGATGTCCGAACCTCTCAGCTTGATGTTGAGCACACGCTCCATCGCACTGAGGACCTTCTGGTCCGGGGTGGCGGTACCCTTCTCGAAATCCTGGACAACGGTGACGGTGGTGTTGCACTTGGTGGCAAGTTCCTTTTGTGTCATCTTGTAGCCCTCATCGGTACGGCGCTTCTTGATAGCGTCTGCAACTTGGTAACCCACAGTCTTGGGCTTGATGATGTCGTCGCTGCGGTCGACCTTGGTCAGGTGCTGACCTTCAATAGAACCAGTTTTGGAAGCCTACGATGGCATGTCAGCATTATGGCCTCGAAAACAAAGAATATAGATACCGCGCGGGGTTAGGATCAAGTAGATTACTTACAGCATTGCCAGTGGCGTACTTCTTCTCAGTTCCGATAACAAGGCCTTGGCGCTGAGCGGCGTTCAGAGCGCTCTTACCCTTGACGACAGTCTCACGGGGAGCAGCACCGCCAGCACGGTGCTTGCTTCCAATGCGAGTAGTAGAGCTCCAGTCATCCATTTTTGAGGGTGTTTAGAAGAGGTTCGAAAAAGACTCGATGGGGAGAAGAATGGTGGGGGTTGTGTTGTGAGAGATTGGAAGAGTGACGAAGGCGGTAAAATTGGATCGCGTGAGGTTGTGGCTAAAAAGAAGGGATGTCGCAGGCCCGCCGAATTTATATCAATGACACAGAAGCTTCTCGAGCCACGATGGCGGAGTCAGAGGGGAGGTTATGCCCTAGTCCTATTTCGGTCCCCTCTTTGGGTTCTGCCCCACTGACATCATTCGCTCATTCGCTCGGGCTTTTTTCCCTCCGTTGAGAAGGTGGCGATCTCTGATGCTTACCTTACATTGATCTATGCTGGGGGGGCAAATCACATACCAAGATATCTTTGTATATAGACTATGGTTGATCTACTTTGAGGCCGGCCATGCAGTGCTGCTAGAAAATCATGCTAAAGCATGCTTCGTTGCTTTAAATGAGACGCTTCGTGTTTCATACTAGAGCATGTCTTTGTTATGCTTCAGTAGGATTTAGCATGCACTAATCTTTATATACGACATTACCAGCGTATTAACCCTAGATTTTGTTGAACAGAATAAGGTTACATTAATACATTTCACAGGGTACGCTGGATGCACCCATCATTCGCACTGCTTGAGGACTTCAGATCTCTTCCTCGGAGCGTACACTGATATGTTCTGGGGTGGGTGAGAACAACTGAGACACTCCACATAGGTAAGGATACTCCTGTGTCCTCAGTTAAACAGTACATGTAAAGGAAGGTAATTCGCCAGTATACTGAATGGATCAAACAATATGAAATTAACAAGGCACCCAATGGAGTACCTAGGATACACATTCCATTAGGTTGGGTATGGGTATTACATCCTGAAATAGACAGGTCTTCGCTTTTAATCTTGGTACCTTATTTCAAGGTCAAAACATCATACCATGGATACTCATTGCGTCCAATGTTCGTATCAAGACTGGGGCAGGGTTACAATATGCCCATTTAACTAGTTAAAAGTAGGTGCCTTGTCCCTTAGCAAATAACTTGCATCTATTAATTGAATCTTGTCATCTTCAGTTCTGCATCCCAGTCTCCCTAGTTAGTATATATTTATAGTAAATCGGTTTACTGCTCTACTAAATTCGAACCACAAACCTTGTTCAAGGACACGGTGCTTGTTTTCGGCCTGAGCCTATTCCGTGGTCTTCATGCAAGTTTGAAAAGTTCATGATATTCTTATACGTTGTGTGTCTCGATATGAGGATGTTCTATGGGTAGGCAAGGAGCTACGGATAATCAAAGCTGGCCTAGGAATTGCTCACGCTCTTGTGAAGGCAAGTACGTAGAAAAGTATGATTGAGTAGACGCAGATTATGTGAGCAGGTGGATGTGCTCCTCATGCCTAGAAACTAGTAGTCTCTAGAGAAATCAATATATACTATTGAATGGGGCATGTCAGGTTAGTGGATGAAACCCCAAGAGTCGAATGAGGGTGATTTAAATCAAAACAACCTTCACCAAATGCTATGCTAAGCCTTACAAAATGCAGCATTATAGTGTGTTATAGAAAGAGGACGAGGCACAAGTATTTTTTCATATGAAGAGAAGAGCCACTCCCGTGACAAGACAGATATCTCTCAATATCGAGAGATGTTTCAATAATGCTTGGCAAGGATAGGCAGACATGGAAACACTGAGCGGCAAAAGACCAATGACTAGCGTTTGCCCCGACCGATCCGACTGGGGCGTCAGGAACGTCTTCCATTTCCCTTTGAGCGCATTTATCGGCTTTTAGGACTAAGCGCTGCCCATCGTTCTTTTTTAAACTTATTTCTCGTTTCGAAAATTTTGAACCTCCCTTGGTTTCAACATACGTCCACCTCTCTTTATCGAATTTCTTTCCAGTTCCTGTCACTCTCTAATCCCTCTTCGTCGACCATGGCGTCCCAAAGCAACTTCATGACCGCCATGACCAACCGGTCGCTGCGCACTGTCCGACTGGTATAGCACTCTCCCTTGCTCTTGAGGCATCGCACTTATGCTTTCCTCCCATGTGCAACCGTAACATATCGCTAACCCTACTCGATCATTCTAGGAACTTGAGTTCCTTGCGGATGCGTCGGTCATTACTCCACAACAACTTTCCTCGATTGTATCTCAACTACCTCAGGAGAACACTGAACGTTCCGCCTCTGCACCTCAATCGCAGCCACCTGTCCAGCGGCACCAACCCCCGGTTGCAGCCCCAACTCCCATTCAGCCATCTCCAGCCCCATACTCCCCTCCAACTCAACAATTTGCCAATACCTCGTTGAACGAGAAGGCCGCCTATCAACCTCCCCCGCAGCATTATACTCCCCCACCGCCTGCTTACCCCCAAGCTCCCCCGGTGCTCTCGGTCGCTAATGCACTCTACGCCTACACGCCAACGGACCCCGGTGATCTGGCCCTCCAGCCCCATGACCGGGTTCAAGTTCTGGAGCACATGAACGCCGATTGTAAGGAACTCCGGTCACCCGAAACTGCTGGCACTTTACTAATAATGGCCTACAGGGTGGCGTGGTCGTAATGAGAGGACCAACTTGGAGGGTATCTTCCCTCGTAGCTATGTGAACGTGATAGAAGACAAGGCGGCGCCAGCTCCTTCGAGTTACGGAAATATGCCCCTCGAGGTCAGCCAGGGTGGCTCCGCCGAAAATCCGGACGAGAAGAAAACCGGCAAGTTTGAAGAGCAGGGCAAGAAGTTTGGCAAGAAGATGGGCAATGCCGGTACGTTCCCTAGTAATCCGTGGCATATTTGTGAATGCTGACTATTGATCGTCCAGCTATCTTCGGTGCCGGTGCTACTATCGGTTCCAACATTGTGAATAGTATCTTTTAGTGTGTTCACTTTTCCACATTTCACTAATATGGGAGGGGTTTCGAGTTGAATACCATGCGGGTTGATTCCGTTTCTCGCTCTTTTGTCCCTAGGAATGGTGTTGGTGGTGTTCTTTCTTTTGCTGCTCGGGGGCCTCGTTTAGTTGGGCTAATGGGAATTATTTTGGAAACGTATGTCGCGGATTATTTATAGCATGATCCATAGCCACGACGTTAATACAATTATCAGAATGCGACTTTCCATACAATGATTTGTGGAGCCTTAGCTAGATTTATGAACAGGTAAATAATCGGAGTAAACAGATATTGACGTTAATCGAACGAGGATGATATCGAACCAACACCTGAGGCCCTCCCGACCTTCCTCCGCCCTCCCCATTTTGTATTTTCCCTTATGTTCTCGAGATCTGCCCTAGCAAGCGTTTCACTCGAAGCCACTTGAAACCCCACCAGGAGAAGATATCTGAGTCCTGCGCGCCACGTTGGATGTTTAAGCGCTGCCGATCATGCACGTTCCCCCAACCAGAATAGCCAGACCCAGCAGACTGGCGCAAAGTTATCCGGATTCACTATTACGGACAAATATTGGGTGATATTTTTCTCTCGGTGGCTGGCGAAGCGCCACTACTACCTCATGGCGAGTTTCACCATGTATTTCGCCAGTAGGCAACTTGCAAGGCTGATGTGGCCGACCGGGGTCCTTGAGCACTATGCATTAGTAGCGGAGTCGTTTGTATGAGAGCGCTCACAATATAAACCCAAGGTTGTACAAGAAGGATGCTTTGTTTTTAGAATTTTTCCTAGATTCGATTCTCTTTGTCGTATATACTGTGTGTCTCATCGCCATGTTTAGCCCTCTTATACTTGTTACATGTTTTATAATACCTACTGCAAGGGCAAGTGGCTGGGATGACTTTACAGACAATCTTGCTACGGATCTGGTGGGTTACGCTTTCCCCGCGGCGCTTCAGTGCTATGCCTATCGGTTTAACATTGATACTGCCAGGCACCTTTGATCTCTCTCTTCGGAGAACGACTGACAACACAATTTCTTTCGGAGTCTGTCAGTCTTTTAGACAACTTTATCTTTGCCCTAGCTCCGCTGGGGATTTTGACAGCTGCGGTTTCCGCAATCCGAGTCTGTGGGAATGCTTCTCTTAGAGCATTCATCGGAAGAGCCCAGGAGGGTCCCGGCGAGGCAGAACATGAGCTGTTGTCCTGTGTTTCGGAGACCACGGCCGAATTGTTTAACAATGGTGGCATTTCCCGCGTTTTTGGGCGCCCTCGACTTCTGGAGGTAGTGGTGTGGAAGGACAAAGATCCTATAACAAAAGAAGACTGCTGGAAGACAGGGACTTTGCGTGATGCTCTCCTACAGGGCGCATGGACCGCAAAAGACGGAGGGTTAAAGCTCCTTGAGAAGGACTACCCGTTACCGGAACTTGAAATACCAAATCTGTCTCTGAACAAAGGCATTGCAAGGAGGAGCCAGGGTTGGTTCTACTGCGCTGCAGCCGTAGGATTTGTGCTGCAGATAGGTACGTTTCCAGGCGCTCATAGCCCTAAAACTAGCATTGTTGAATGGTAGATAATAACTTACGAGAGTTTCAGGAGTGCTTGCATATTCTGCGGTAACAGTTTTGATATACCCGGATCAGTTCCAAAAGGATGAACACCCGGTCGAGAGCTATGCGCTCCCACTCTTTCTCATTGGGACTATATGTCTCTGTACGGGAATGTTCCTCTGTGCCTTTATCATCGAACGCTCGTCGAAGGAATTCTACTTCCACCCTGTCAAGCCTAGCAAGATTTACTGGTTACAACCTGGGGCACAGAACGTTGGAGACCAAGTATTCGACTCATTTCTTGCAGTCAACGAAGGACCTAATTCCCAACTAAACGAAGGTCTCGTGTATATTAAGTCGATAAGGGACCTTGCACTTCAGGGCGATTCGTATATACTCGTACTCACTATATCATTCACATTAATCGGATTTGTCGCTCAATTCGTCGGTCTTCGAGGACTGCATGCGTCGGTGACCTTAGCACAGATGGGGTCCACTCTCGTGATGGCTATCATCCGGACATGCCTTCGCACGAAGAGGATCAGTTCGAAGGAGAACCGCCTTACTAAATACGAGCGGGACCTTACCTCTCACAAGAGCCAAGAATTAGACTGCTTTGCATTCCACCTCGAGAATGCAAAATCATTTAGTCTAGTTTCTGGCATAGTCAGAGGGCCGTCGTCATACCAACCCAGTCTCTTATCAGTAATGTCAGGGTCTTCAGGTCAAGATACTAGGTTGGGGGCTAAACTCGTTCAAACAAGGGCTCACCTTGCGAAACTCACGTCTAGTACTGACCAGCTCCAAGCTTCGGCTTGGGATGGGATGCCTATCCGGCAGGTTGCTCAAGACTTAGCCCGGACGATTGAGGCGACGATGGACTTAATATCAACCTGGCAGCACGTGCCAAAGGATATGGGCAGCTTCGAGCTTGATTTTGTGTGTCAATCTCATCACAAGTTTATCGCACCTAAATTGGAGAGCTACACGATCAACCTCGCAAGATCAGATGACACGCAACAGTGGCGAGTTCAGGAACACGAACTAGAGGCAGTGTTAGGGCTCTGGACATGGTCACTATTGAATTCTAGCCCAGAGTGGCTGCAGAGAGGACTTGGTAGGCTTGTCGGACTAAGTGAGTCCGAGGCCAGAGCTGAAGACACTGACCTTTACTTCCATAAATGGATCTTCCGGCAGAGAGAGGCTAGGATGGTTTCGGCCAAAATGGTTTGTCTACCTCAGTGCATGTTTGGATTTTATTCAGGCCACTATCCCAACGATAAAGAGATTCTGGTTGTGAAGACCGAAAATTGCCTTGAAACTATGGCCGCTCAAGATATTTACGTTCAGTTTATCAGAAGCGCTTTTCAGAATCTGAGAGAACTTGGTGGCGATACCAACGTGGTTTCCAGCTCGAGAGACGGGTACATTGCTCATAATAACCGCCTTCACGACCTTGTGAACTGTTTCGAATCCAGCAACTTAGGCTCACGAGAAGATGCACTGTTGTGCATAGTTCCTGTGTTGAGGCATCGAGGTCTTCTACCAATGCTTTCTGGAGGCTCAAATGTTGTCAAGCGCCGGATCAAGGAGCTTACAGCCAGCAGCAACTGGGAGGGAGCGTTTTCAATATTATGGTGGCTTTGTGAACGTAGTGAAGGAGAGGACTTCGAACATTCTGTCTTCGAACTCGGCTGCCTTTGTCGTCGGGCAATGTTACAAACAGACCCGAATATACAGGCAGAAGGCTACAAATATGCATATCGTCTCATAGAAAATGATCCAAGGACGAGGTTTATCAGAAGCCTAAAGGATAGCCGCCCCACAGACTGGATGAACGCTGACCAGCGACCGGAGCAGTGGAAAGCATTTCCCCTCCAATTAGGATGGGTAATCTGGCACATCGCTCAAAGAAATAGCGACCGACAGGGCGTTCAAAGCTCCTTGGAATCTCTTGGTATTAATGGGAGCTCGGTGTCTATAGGAAAAGCGAATGGAAATGAGAACCAGGGCAAAAAGGGAGAGCAAGCCGTACTCCATTGGTTAACGAACAATGACGAGGGGCTGTACAACCGCGAGCTTCTTTCCATAGATGATCGTCTAGCCCTAGATTGGCTGTGTCAGAATAGGCACCACGCACTTTTGGACTGGCTTGTTGCGAGATGGGTTGAGTTAGAAGAACGATGTCCAGGGTTCCTCTACCACATCGTCATTTGGGCTGTGGAAGGCAAATATCGAGTAGCGATAGATGCACTTCGCCGGCACGATGTCAGCATAGACATGCACAATCCCAAAGACGGCTCAACTCCCCTGATCGACAAGATTATAGCTGGTGATCGAAAGGCAATTCAGGAGCTGCTCGACGCCGGTGCCGATGTTAATGCAAGTCATTCCAGTGGAGGAACAGCGTTGTCGGCCGCCAGTCATAAAGGAGATTTGGAAACGGTTTCTCTGCTCTTGCGCAAAGGCGCCAGAGTCAACATCCAAGACAGCGACGGATACACTCCTCTGATATGTGCTATCGTGGGGGACTATGTCGACATTGCTCGGGTTCTCTTTGAGCACGGTGCTAATGCTAACCTGGGTAGCTTCGGCGGAAGTACGCCTTTAATGACTGCGGCAGCAGATAACAGGGTGGAAATGCTGGAGCTACTGCTTTCTCAGGGGGCTGAAGTGGATGTGGAAAGCAGCGATGGATGTACTGCTCTAATGCTAGCAGCTAGGAATGGCAGCACAGAAGCCACGAGGCTTCTGTTAGGCCACGGTGCCAACGTCCGTAAACGCACGCTAGGTGGTGAATCGGCTCTCGACTGGGCACGAGGATTCGAGCATATTGCAAGCGAATGCATACCGTTACTCGAATCCGCAATGGCTCAGAGCTGATGGTCCCTGATTATGATGTTTATGAGTTTCTTTGGTATGTTTTTGGCGTCAGGCATCAGTCAGCTCAATCGGGGTGTGTATATGTATGAGCACCTACGATATATATGTAGTAAAAACCTTGAATAGAAGCAAGTCGATCCATGAGACATTCAATCGGGAATCTAGATTTAGCTTAACATCTGGCCACCTGAGGCAACAAAGGAATGGTCTTGTGGCTAGAATCCAGCCAGTGGGCTGATAGAAAGGTTGTTCTACCTTCAACTCCTACCCCACTACGACTATAGTACTGACTCCCCCCCCCGCTAAGACGCTAAAGCAGACTGGCCCAAGCCTGACACTTAACAGCGATGAGGGTACCACACATGATTGGAGGGGACCCCATCCACCCAAGACGATAATCGACACGATCGGCCGCGTTTTGCTGCAGCTCGTATCACAGTTGACTCTCTCTAAGCGCCGGCTCAGAGCAATCAGCTTGCAAGAACCCCAAATCCTCAGCGCTTACAATGACGATGAATACTATAATAATGCTGCCGGAGATTCCTCGATGGATCGCCTTGTCAAACTTCCCTACTTAAAATTATTCCATTGACCTTCGTGCTTTAAGTCGTTATAAATAACCCGGACCTCTGCACACTGCTGTGGGCTTCCTAATTCCTAACCCTGTTTGTTCATCAATTGGTGATACGATATAAGAAGTACATTCACGGTTTTTCTTTTCGGCTACGCGAAGGGCCAAAAGAAATCATAACCTGAAAGAATGGCGACTACTTACTTTCCTCCTCCACCGCAGGACCCTCAGTTCCCTCGTGAGTCGTTCTTTTTCCCACTGCGCATGCCTTGATTCAATGCGAATGCTAATGACCGATCTAGCACCCCCAAGATCCGCAAGTACGGTGACATCTTCCCTAAATTCTACACGCTTTAGGAAGAAACTAGTCTCATAACTGGTATAGCTACTCATTCGAACTCCCAAAGCCTATCCGAATTCTCGCAATCGAATTTCAGTTTCCCCGCGCCACAACGGCAGCAGACAGCGCCTGCCGTGAGCCCATTCATAGCGGATCCCAATGCCGCCGCGTACACCGCGAACGGTGAAATCGGCAATCCCTATGGAGCAAATTCCGTGTCACCCCCCCCTGAATCAGTAACGCCTCCATCCCTCCAAGCAGCCGTACAACCCCAAGCCGCCCCGGTCGTGTCGGCGGCAAGTCAAGATGAAGTCGGCACATTCAACGGCGGAAGCTACCGAATCAGCCACCGGGACACCAACTCCGTGCTCACGATGCAGCTGGCAATGGGATGTCCGATTGAGGCTAAACCAGGTGGGTTATGCCCAGCCCATCGATTCAGTCCAGGAACTAGTAATCCTCGCAGCTAACAACTAAGACAGGAGCTATGGTTGCAATGTCTGGCGACATTTCCCTCAGAGGAACAATGAAATTCGGCCTAGCGAAAATGGTCGCCGGCGGTATGACCGCCTCGATCTACACGGGGCCTGGGGAAATCCTACTGGCGCCGCCTTTCCTAGGCGACATCATTGTGCTCCGGATGGACGGCTCAGAGCGATGGAAGGTGGGCAAAGACGCGTTCCTGGCCAAAACAAGCGGCGTCGAGAAAGACTACAAGGCCCAGGGTATGACCAAGGCTGTCTTCTCCGGTGAAGGTTTCATCATCTACCACATGTCCGGGATCGGTCTTGTATGGCTTCAGAGTTTCGGTGCCATCATCAGGAAAGATGTAAGTATGGCTGTGTTAGCTTTTTTCCTTCCTCTCTTATTCCTTTCCTTCGCAGTTGCTAATTTCCTCTTTCATCGATTCAGATCCCCGAAGGAAAAACATACCTAGTCGATAATGGGTATATTGTGGCATGGAATTGCAAGTACAAGATCGAGCGAGCTGCGTCCGGTGGCCTGCTGTCGGCTTTCAGTTCCTCGGAAGGACTTGCGTGTAAATTTGAGGGTCCTGGGACTGTCTACCTGCAGACGAGAAATGCCACTGCTTTTGCGGCTCATCTCAGTGGTAAACAGTAATATGTCAGTTGGGAAATACAGCAGAGAGCTGGCTCTCCCTCCGACTGTCTGTCTGTGGGTCTTGTTTTTTGTTACTTCTTTCTTTGTTTGATCGTTGTTCTATATCCCCAATCTTAAATTGGCCGTTGTGATTATGAGCGTATTTCCAATTGATTCATCGTGTTTCAAGCAACAATTTTTTCTGCATCGGAAATTCAAGTTGTATGGTATTGGTGATAACCGTGCCTGTTTATCTGTTTTATGCCAAATTATGCATCAAAGATTCAGTTTCACAAAGGCTAGTCAGTCATAGTATTGGTTTGCTCATTTATCGAGCTGATCATACCACGGCATCACCATCAATGCGGACTCCTACTGCAATTTCATGTCCAACCGTCAAGGCAGAAGAGAAAGACTATAAAAAAAAGTCATACCAATCCATATACTTATCATGCCATGCCGAATTGTCTTCACTTCGTCTCTTCTTAGTTACTTTTGAGTTCCTATTCCATAAAGCACTACTCTCAACGTCGTCATCATCATCCACATAGGAGAGAGAAAAAAGAAATCTTTATACGAAAGGGGGAAAGAAAATCATAAATCGCCAAAAGATAGTCGCAAGGAAATACAACCACCGCCACCATGGCTCCCCCAAAGACGCCACACCACGTTTAACCCTGTCTCTTTCTGCGTCCGACCTGGCCACGGAAACCGGTCTTGATAGCGGCGACTGAACGACGGGATCCGCAGGAGTTGCAGGTAACGAAGTACAGACGGTTCTCACCCTTGTTGAGCTCGGTGTCGGGACTGCGGCAAGTCTTGCAAGTAACATATTCGACTGGTTTGATGTTAGATGGATGTCAAATCAATGAATGGGGGAAGGGAAGCACCATACCAATATATCTTCTGAGGACGTTCTCAAGCTGCTTCTGCTGGAAACGACCCTTGATGACCAGACGACGACTGCCGTCAACACTGCCACTGGTACCCAATTCGGCGAACAAGAACTGCATGACGTGGTCGTCGGAACGCTTCATACGCTTGCAAATATCGGCGATGTTGGCGAAAATGGTACGACGGTTACCTTCACGCAGACACTGAGGAGGAGGGATCTTATACGACTTGGCACCGCTGGACAGAAGATCGGGGTGGTGGCTCTGAATGAGGGAGAAGAATCGGGAGACAAGCAGAGAGTAGGGGATGGCTTGCGTTGCGTCGTGGGCCCAAATACCAGTTCCGGCCTCGAGATCGCCCTCGGGGAGGGCCTCCTCTGTCTCCTCAGCTCCCTTCTCTGCTGCACCAGCCTCGGCCAGCTTGGCCTCGAAATCGCCTGCGTCAACCTTCTTGGTCTTCTTCTTCTTCTTTTTCAGGGCGGTGGGGTCGAATTCGCCGTCAGCTGCGGGGGAAGCTTCGTCGCCTTCGCCGGCCTCTGCATCCTTAGGCTTCTTGGTCTTCTTCTTCTTGGACAGTCCCTTGAACATTTCGGTAACTTCGTCGACCGACTTGTCGGCTGTGGCTGTTTCTTTAATTAGACCACCGGACATGGATCACTAACAAAATGCACTGAACATAACGGAAATGGGACTCAAGTGATCGTACCTTCATTCTCGATGGGCTTCTCCACCTTAGGCGCCTCCGTGACTTCACCGTTGGTATCCATGATGACAGAGCCCTCACTAAATGCGACTGACTTGCGTTGTTTTTGAGGAGCTTGTTCGACCTATTCGGCCCCGCCAGATAACGTTAGCGGACAAGAGGTTCTGGAATCAAAAATTCCCAGATGTCAAAAAAAAGGTAGACAGTAAATGCTCGCAATGCAGCACAGCACTACTCTCAGAACCTAAAGCGGAGTGGCAAAGTAATGGGGGTTTGGGGTTGAGAAGATTGAAAGGTGAAGAAAATGTGGGAGGACGATCGGTAAGGGAAAACAGCGTGTGACGTACAGTTGTATCCGCCATGTTGAATCACTATCGGGCTGTGGGCGCAGGCAGGGGTATCACACTCCACCAAGACAGACCAAATCACAATTTTCAGCAGTAAGAATGATGCTCTTAAGCAAGACGACGAGGTCGCTATGAACTTCCGCTGAGAACCGTATCTGCGACGAGTCTGATGGCGAATCTGTTATCGCGGGTCGTTCTCACGTGACCCGTGAGTCAAACCCATTCGGTACGGCGTAATTTTACGATACTGTACGAGTCGAGGCACGTGAGGGGCCCTCCCCTGGATTACATCAGACTATCAATCAACCTCACTTCCAATCAACGCATCCGATCTCGACCTTCTTCCTAACGGACATTAACTGGGTCCTACTCATGCCGCTATCCTCTTTCAAGCGGTAGGCGGGCCACTGCTTGATTGACAGCTTACCATCTGCTTGTCTTTTACCTCCATTCCTGTTGTTCAAAAGTGTCTCAGTGCCTTGTCACCATGTCGTACCTATCACCCTCCGCCTCCAACCCGTCACTGGCTACATCGGCCTATATGGTTTCCTCTGTAGACAGCATCTCAGACGATGAAGTCGCCTCTCTTCCCTCTGAATCTGCCTCTTCCTCAGACCTAGATACCTTCTCAGACGACTACTCTGACGCCGAGGAGGAATGGCGAGAAAGCATTGAGCAGTTGGAACTCCTCTTGACTATGGTCGTCGTGCCCTTCATGGGGAAGTACCTGGGGAGGAAGTGTGCCTATTGGAGTATGTCAATCTATGGGAGTGCGTCAGCTTCGTGGGCTACATGCTGACTATGTGCATAGGTTGGACCAGGTTTATGGAATGGAAATACCCTGTTGAGGTTGTCGTCAAAAACCAGGCGGCATTCAAGGGAGCAGGCGCCGTTGCAGCTCTTGCTTCGCTATGATTCGGACCAAACCGTATGCATTATCCTATACTAGAGTTCCTTGGCGTCGATAGACATATACATGGCAACTGTACCATCACATTCCGCCTGCCTTAGCTCTTTCTTGTGTCAGGTAAAGCAACTCCGTGCTTACAATTCGTATGGTCGGTCGGTCTTGGAAGATACAGCTCTGTGCTGTCTAGCCTGTTTATCCAACCACAGATCCGGTGTGTCAATGCTGGTTGTTCCACGGTGCCAAGGGACAGTTACGCCTTTTGAAACAAGCAGCTGGTTATCTGGTGAGATGTTGAGTGAGCATTCCAAAGATGGTTCCAGTTGAGCAGCGTTTCAGCATAATTTGTGATACAATTATACCCAATCAAACTTCAGTGCATATACATAAATCTGATGGAGACGTGTTTTCGGGTTTGAATATTAGAAAATCGGAGGGACAGTTGGGGATACTCGCGGCAGTTCACGAAAATTCAATTCATCTTCAATATTTACTATCTTCTTGTTGACCAGACCATGATGGACGGTACTCAGACCCAATTTCGATTACTTTTCTCCATCACCTAACCCCTTCCTCACTCCTTTCTGCGCTTGTTGCGGATAGCCAGTTCCATGTTTTCCTTGGCTTTCGCTTTGCGTTTATCTTGTCCCTCCATATCGCCAAATTCAGTACCCATTTGTGACAGGGCTTCTCTAGCGTAAAAGCTAAGGTCACTGCATCCATCCGGGGTCAAGAAGCGTTCAAGCGGGGTCTCGCGGTAAGCTCCTAGCTGCTGTTGTTCAAAGAGCTTCAGGCTCTCGCTGGTTTGGTTCTGAGTTTCCGCGGAATTCGAGTCAAAGGTAGCCTGACTGAGGTGATCCATGGCCTGTTCGATGTCGACATTGTCTTGGCCATGCGCGCTCAAGCGTTGCATCCCAAGCTGAGAGAAGTGTTGATGGATTCGCTCATCAGCTATAACTTTCTCTATCCATGACATTACACCGTTGCTTGACTGTCCCTAAAGCAGAGTTAGACACAGTCTCTGTTCACTGTTACAAGGAAGCCATCTGGGCTTACAGATTCTTCAATGATATTGTGTAGAGCAAGGTTTTTCTCAGTCAAGTTGCTGTTGGGCACCTCTTCGGTGCTAGACTCAGAGGACATCTTGTATTATTGACTGTGGTGGATGATGTTATGGAGAAGAGAGTTAAGCAAACATTCAGCAGATTGATGAATGTGAACACGCGCCGAGCCTTGGGCACTATAGCAACCATGACAACCTATGCCACATCGCCAGGGCGATTAACCAGCTCTTTATATGCAGTGCACTTGCGGTATCTGCTTGGATCAAGCCAAGCACACGTTAAAAGGCAAACATGCCTAGCTACAGTACCTGACCCCATAACAATGAAGATACCGTCAACCGCAGGTTAATCAGTCGGTCAGTCAAATCACGCCAATGGATGGTGCCAACCCAAGCCATCAGGCACATACATCCACGCCTTATGCACAAATAGAGACTAGATGCAACCGGAAACCGCATCCCCGGGTCTCCAGTGAAGTACAAGGCACCCACGCCCCCTGTTCCCTCCGTCGTTCCGATGGCCTGTCCTCCCCACCCAGCCGAGCCCAACGAGTCAAAAGATAGCAGCGTCGCAATCCCGGGATTTGGATCTGACCTAACGGCGACGGTGTATGTCCCATGAGCCCGTCTCCTCGAGGCTCTATCCGGGGAAAGCAGCCCGCACTTCCGCTACTTATCGTGGCAGGACTTAGTACTTTCACCCCCTGTCTTTTGGTCATCCATGCAGGATTAGCTGCAGATATGAAACGGTCGGGTCTGCAGTAATATGAGAACTCTCCTCAGAGATTTTCGCACATCAATGTGTCTTCTGCCCCTGGGCGAGTTCTTCTGGAAGAAGTGAGCATAGCCCACTCCAAATGACCACACCAGAACAAGAAAAGAATCACCCACTAGCCAAAAACTCCACACATGCACATAATGGCCCAACATAAGCCAAATCCAGGAAACGGCGGAACAAAAAAAAAGAAAAGAAAAGAAAAGAAAAGGGAAAGGGAAAGGTAAAAGGACCCACGCTGGTAGCCTTGTACAGCACAACACGCAAAGGCTGAACCCGTCCCATTAGCTGCATTTGGTCCCATAGCATTGTACCCAGCAACTTGGGTTCTCGCAAGGCCCGTGCGGGCGTTCCTCGTCCTTCAAAGTTCATGCTAAACTAATAGATCGCCTGTAGTCCGGGCTGAGCGCCAAACCTCTGGACCAGCGGTGACGTTGGGTTTTGCTTTTAACTTATTCTAGGAGACTAAAGAAGACATGTGGTACTAAGGAACCAATTCCAGCAGGGGCTTGTGCCTCTCACAAGGTCCCTCCCTTTCTTTCTTTCTACCAGGTTAAATTCCAAATAGACAAATGTACGCGTACTTTGGACGTACTTTTGAACTGGACGAGTCAATAATTGCCAGGACGGATGCTTGCCTTTCCGTGAATATTACCATTCTTATGGGACAAAGAGAAAAGGGAAGGACGTGTAATGGGCTTATTCTTTTTCCCAGGGACCTGGCTCACTCTGTTTTAGTGCTTGTGCATGAATAAGGACAGGGGAGGTTGATATTATCTGGAGCGCAAAACACGAATAAGTCTGCATACACTAAAATTCCTGCGTAGAATTCTAATGTATGTGGAATTGGTAAATAAAAAGAAAAGACGAGGCACACAGTATGGAAAGGATTTTCATGGGATAATGGTATCTCTTCAACCGTGGTTTGGAATGGAGTTTAATCCCATGCAGTAATACGCACTACAGCATGATCCTAGTTAGTAGGGTTGGAGTCCACTGTCGGTATCTCTCCCTCTTTTACTCTTCCCTTTCTTTTCATCTTTCTTGTTCGCCCTCTTTGTGTATGGTGAAATAAGGAGAGAGCGAGGAGGGCTCTTTAAAAAAAGAACATGAGATAATAGGACCTCTAGGTAGGGAAAGACGTTAAGAGGGTTTTATATGCTCTATACAACCATATTCAACCGATGACCAAGTTTCTCAGAAACAAGGCTATCCTCCGTTTGACACCGTCTTACACAGTACTCAACCGGGAACTACCCCCGAGCTAAATCCCCTCCTGCTCCAGGCGAACGGGCGAAGAAAAAAAAGCAAAGAAAGCTGAAATTAACGAGCTGTCGATCAGTCGGCTGAAGGCAACGGATGCTGGGGCCAGGGACTGCCAGTTGTCCAAACGGCAAACTTCCACCAGTGTCATTCCGTATCGTTGGGTTCGTTCGGCCGGAAGGATGCTTAGTGGCGTATCAGTGGAACTATTATCCATTCCCTTGGGTCTGTGGTTTGTTTATCTGTTCCATGAGAATGGTTTCGTCATCTCGATGTCTCAGCCGTTGTTGGAGAAAGAATAGTGTCCATTCATCATTTATGAAATAACCACCCGGAAATTGCTAGTAAATTTTCCATAGAAATACGGCTATGACCAAGATATCAGAGGTAGGACGCCATGCATAAAACTCGGTATTCAATACAGAGCCCAAGTATGAAAGGATATACCATAGTCAAAGCCCACCAAGAGCAAACCCCTAATACAGCTTCTGCTCTCGCCAAAACCCTTTAAGCCCACCCAAAAGGTCTTCCTGCAGACCCGAGACCATGGCTGCGGTCGGTCTAGACTCCGCCCCTGCCATTCTCACGTTTTGGGTTTCTCCTGCAGAATATCTAGCATCCGGGAAATGTCCGGTGAAGCACGTAGGATAGACTGCATGATTTGGCTGGGAGAGGCCCAGGCAACGCTCTTGTTCGGCGGAATCATTTGAACCATGCGAGAAAATCCCTGTTTCTGATGCAATCCCAGGGAGCCAGTATGACGCTAAATCATCTGGCAAGCCATGGTAATCTTCCGGTGCCTGAAATATGTTTCCATTGCCGCCTACGCCAGAAGAAGCGTCCCTCATTGGTGTGTCTACCATTCGGTGCCTAGGAAATTTGTACAAGGGGTCCTGCTCTGGGTGCATAATCACATCGTATGCCGCACTTAGAGTCTGTGCAATCAAGGCACAATCTCCTCCAGGCAAGGGTACCGCCATATTTGCAAACTGTGCCGACGGCTTGTCATTATCCGAAATCAGTGCAGATGCCGTAGAGTTTTTTGCTTCTTTTAATCCGTAGGAGTCGTGGGACTGCATCACAGACGTCGGTTTTTGGATATGTAGCGAGGAGCTAATGAAGCTCGACGTGCCGGGATAAAGCGTAAAATCGCTTGTAGGTGGCTCAATGATGTCTGCCTGGTCAAAGGCTTGTGGTGATGCCGGTGCAGGCTGCCCATGTGATATGTGCACTGACACGCCATCCGTTTCTCCACCACTCCTAGGAAGCGTAGGTGGTTCAGATGCCGGATCATGATGATTAGCAGCAGGAATGCTAATGCCCCCATAAACCTCTGTGTTGTCTTTGCTATTATGCTCTTTGGCCATCCTCGGGGTCTGAGAAGGTTCCCCCTCTCCGACAGACTGAGGCCGCTTGCATTTTCGGGATCTCCAGTGAGAGCTTGCGTTTGTCGGCATAGTAGAGCTATGGGCATCTGAATCCCAAGGCAGGTTTCTCTGATCAGAGAGACATTTCAGCTCTTCCAAGCTCCAGTAATCTCTTGTAGGGTTGACTGTTGTTATCGCTTCATTATTATCCCGGACGTCCAAGTTGATACTGAGAAGCTGTCTGGTGCACCGCTGGTATGGAACATCCAATGCAGAATATCCATGCACACTCTCAGGCCATGTATACACTGTAGCGGTCCTAGTTATACCCTCGCTTCCCTTTTTTTGAAGTTGAGTGCTTCCATCTGTGTGGGCCTGAAGCATGGTGCTCCTCTGGTCATGTTCATATACTGATGTTTCATGAGGAAACGCATCGCTCTCCTGATGATGTGCCTGTTCATCGACAGTATTCAATAATGACGAACAAGCTCTTGTATTTTGACTCGGTGAATTCCAATATACGCTTCCGCTTTTTTCCTTATCCCGATAAATACATGCTGCTTCACTGTCTTCTCGTGCTTTATTGGATAGAAACTTCATTTCTGAAAAGCTGAGGTCAGGCCCTGATCAATCTGTTAGCTTCGGACCCAACCCCAGAAAGATAGGGAGCTTACCTTGAACCTTGACCGGTGACGAGGTCCTGCCCATCTGAAACAGACCTAGGTTCATGTTAGATTGAAGCTTTGGATATGGTTAGCATGTTCTCACCAAATTGGCTCGTTTCTCTTAACTCACGGTCAATCGATCCCGAGCTACATTAGAAGCGTGAAAATTATCATTCATGGTATGCTTCCTATTCCTCTTTGCGGATCTTCTTCTCTTAGCCTTTGTCACCCTACCACCACCTTTCTCATGAGACATCTTGCCCTTGTACTCATAATGGTCGTTTTTTGTCTTGTGGCGTGGTTGGCGCTCATATCCAGATCGTTCTTCCTTTCCCTTGCTGGCAACTTTCTGGGAAGATATGAGACACGACGCAGAGCCTACTGACTCAGGGCAGTGTTGTTTCTCATACGTCTCCAGTGCTTGTTCCTGGACTCGCGGTACGTGTGCGACTTGTTGGGACGAGGGGCCAAGATGCTGTAAGCTAGCATCGCCTTCTCTCACTGTGCCCTCAATGATCATGACTGATAGTGATCTCCTTGGTTGGTCCTCAATGCCCGGTAGTTTGCCATAAAGATCTTGAACTTTCGGGAAATTGCGGCTTGGGTACGACCATCTAGGGGTGTCAGATGGCACAGGCTCGTCTTCAATCATTCCCAACCACTCAAAAATACGAGACTGTGACCCCGAACCCATCGAGACAACTGGTGTGAGATGTGCTTAATGTGGTGCTGGTGGGTGGAATAGGGGGTCCTGAGACGGAAAAGTCGAAACGTGAGGTGGATAGGTGCATATAGGAAAATCGGGGGGCATCTTAGGATGCCTGGCTGAGACATATGGCCGCCATTGTGACATCATCCAATTGAGTATTTGAAGAAGCCTGACTGAAGTGTCTGAGGCAGCCACGATTACCACATATGGAAGCACCCTCGTGACTTGCGTTTGCAATGGAATGAACATAAGTAGCAGTAGTAGTAGCTTTGTTACAGTGTCCACCTATTATCTCATCACTAATTTAGTACAATTACCTCAGAAATCCATCTCCCAGGATCATATTGAAACCGATCTATCAAAGCTGCTCCCTTAGCACACATCCTTAGACCCCTCTTTATTTGTCTTTCCATTCATTAGAAACCGCCTGCTGAACTTTGTCCCGTCTGATGTGCTCGTGTTTGTCCGTGGATCAGAGACGATTATACCTGCAACGTACACACACCTCAATCCTGCAGCGCTGGCATCGTAGGATGAAGTCAGGGAGCAGGTCGTGGCATACATCGCACGAATATTGCCCATCACGCCTCCTCCAGCGAGCGTCATGCTTACAGTTGTGCTGCTCACGGAGTTCTTGTGCTGCCCTCTGAACCTCTTGTTGTGCAGGTCGAGGATTGTCATCATTCCGAGCGGCGACTTGGTTTGCTCTGTCGAATAGTCTGTCTTCGTCCCATACTTCGCATCTACATGTCTTCCACTTCAAGGCACAGGTGTAGCAAAATCCGAACCCACAACGGCATCTAAAGCAGAAGACTGTCAGACAGGTTTCCATATCAAGGATAAGAAAGCCTCATTGCTTATGCACTTACGTGATGTGATTGCAGCCACTCTTTAGCTCCACAATGTTACGACATCTCGCGCAGCGCTGCCATCCTTCTCTTTTTGCCATATTCAGAATCTCCGCTTGCCCCTCGACACATAGGCCAGCATGAGCTCGCTGCTTACATGTAGAGCATGTTTCTGTGTTGCAAGAAGGGCAGATTCTGGTGGTAATGGCCACCAGGCCAGGGGGGAGGTATCGCGAACACGAAGGATTCGCACAGTAAGTTCTGTTGGAGTCACTGTGCTCCACTGTCTTCTCCTCAAATTTCCGAATTATCTCCTCACCCAGAAGTGTTTTTATTGTAGATAAAGAGAATGGCAAACGACAGCACTTGGGTGGGAAAAGTGACTCGTCAACAAGAGAGTCGTGCACCAGGCGGCCGGTACAGCTCCTGCAGTAGTAATGGGAACAGATTGCCTTGAATATGTCAAAGGAGGGCTTGGCTTCCATACAGGCTACACATTTGAGGTGTGCTTGACTGTCAAGTTTCCGAGCAGCGGCAACTTTCGAGCTTTCAGCTCCTGGGAAGCCTGAACTTCGAACTTCAGTTGCATCCGTAGGTCTCGATTGCTCTGGCACTGTAGTGAAACCTCCCATCAGGCTAGTAGTTAGACCAGCCATCGCAGCCTCATTCTGCCCCAGTAGCTGATCAGGGGTTGATTGGCTGAGACCGCCCAGTTGTAGTGCGGCCATTCGATCCCCGAAGGCTCTGTTTTCCTCTTCAGTTGCAGCTGCGAGAGCAACACCATCATTGGAAACAGCTCTAGCTAGGCTCTTCGCCATTCTGTAGTCTGCAATCGTGCACGCACAATGATGGAGCTCTCGAGCCCATTCAGTGAGTGCTAGTTCATGGTCAGTTACTTGTTCAGTCCTTCCTTTGCCCTTTATGAGTCCAAGGGCGCCTCTAGCATCTTCTTCCATTAGACTTAGCACTAGTTCCTGGGTCGGCCCATCCATGGCGAAATAGAATAAATAAGGCGCTATGGAAGCTGGCGATGGAGAGAAGGTGGAAGTGTGAAATGGGAAGGGAACTGCGAACAACGGTGTTTTAGAATGACTGAGAAGGGAAGATAAGAAGAGTCTCGGTGAATTCAAGTTGATACCCTGGTACATGCAATTGGCATGACTGGTTATTCACTTGTCAGCTACAGGCAGGTCATGATATCCAGTACAGCTACATAGATACTCTGTAGTAGGACCAGCTATCCACTCCGCCCATATACAATACCATTATCTAGTGAGTCTGATAATACTAAGTGATAGCACGTACATAGAATAATGCCAACATACAAGCTCTGTGTAATTAAGTTTTGTATAACAGATAGATGATCAAGGAGATGTTGATTAGAATTAGTATGCTGTCCTGTCACAGTACGATAACTATTTCTACATCAGACGGTAAATATATATATATGCGATAAACATGCTTTCCTCCGAAGTGAAGCTACTAGTTATTTACACTTGCACTACACCCACTACTTAGTTCCAGTATTAGTTAAGACTCGGGCCTTGTCTTGCTGATGCCTTCTAATCAGAATCCAGGAAGAAGAAATCAAGATAAAAATCAAAATGATTAAATTGACAATGAGGGGAACCGGAGGTGTTCCGCAACGCTTGGGTTAGCGTCTTAAGATCAGTCCAATCCAAGGCATTGCAAAACGGACCCCCCTCCGTGGTGCAGTATTTGAGTATTGTTACCGTTCAGGCTGGCTGTTCGTCTTGCAAGTGGGAGAGGAAAGAGTGTACGAGGAGTGTACATACAATTTGATTTCCCCCCCCCCCCCGCTTTATCTTCGCTCAGTCAAATCTTCGGTAAAAGAAAAACAGAAAAATTTAAAAATTTAGAGAATTAGAGTATTGATTTTTGTGGCACAACGTGCAGTTGAATCTGATCATCTTTGGTCAGAGATTCCCTTCTGTAGCAACAGTGAATGTGCATGATTGACAGTTTTAGTCACTGCAGCGGTTCCACTTGAATAAGTGTACGTGATAAGGCCGATGATTCTGCAAATCGGCTCTTTAGGACCTTAGTAGCCTCCTTCACATTCATGTTCCCCACGGGCCCTCTTCCATTGTCATCCTCCTCTTTCAGCCGAACCATCATTTTATCGCACAAATCTCATCTCATCTTCATCCTTCTTACTACTCTTTCCTCTCCTGACCCCCCTTCTTAGTCTCTGTTCAACTCTACAAAAACCTTCAGAATGTCTAAACTATTTGTTGGGTCTGTTTACCCCTCCCCACACTCACCCCCAATAGCAGCTGCCATCTATTTCCCATCTCAACCAGGACATCCTAATTGACCATTTCACTGACCCCACCAAACAGCGGCCTGTCATGGCACACCACTGACCAGAGTCTCCATGATGGTTTCTCCCAGTTCGGCACGGTCGAAGAAGCTGTCAGTACCCTCCCTACTGTAGCGCCATTCCCTCTCTCTGCCATGGTTATATTAATAATCTTCAGATTGTCGTTAAGGATCGTGACACTAACCGCAGTCGCGGATTTGGTTTCGTCCGCTTCAGCTCAGAGGCTGATGCCGACGCTGCGGTGGCACAGTTGAACAATACGGAGTGAGCATTCATTTATTTACTGTCATCCCTTTCGTCCCACAGTGCTGTCGCAAATTCTCCGCATGGATCGAAGATTTACAAAGCTAGGTTTGACGGCCGTGTTATCCGCGTCGACAAAGCCTCTGAACGAACTAGTCGCAACGATGGCGGTTTCCAAGGCCGTGGCGGATACAACCAGCGCGGAGGCGGTGGAGGATATGGTGGAGGATATGGAGGCAGTAAGCTACCCATTCTGCTTGGCCTCTACGTCCGATGGCATCGCAGTTCCCTTTATTGGCGCTCCTATGAAGCTAATGGTATACAGACTGGCGCCAAAGCAACACTGATAACTAGGCTATGGCCCGTACCTCTAACTAAAGCGTGGATCGAAGTACGGTGCAGTTGGGCTGATCCTTATTGTGTTTTGTTCAAACGGACTTCATCGCTCAGATAATCTTCTCTCTCGATAAAACTTCATGAGACACGATCACAGAAGAGGAAGTAAAACGCAGTATGACGGCGGAAGCATGGTGTTGATGAATCACGGATGCTCTATCTCTGTTTTTTAAGATCATACCTCTATTGCTCGTTTAATATTGAATTTCCATGTGACGCAGGGAACAATTCCAATTTGTAACCAGATACTCTGCGGCGATAGACTAACTACGCTGGTAATATAAGAGCGGAATACTGTATAAGATTGAAACCATATAGTCTATGTAAGCCTTGCACTTGACCGCCGATCATGGATCATAGAGAAACATCAATGTGAAGTCACGCTCTTTCCTCGTTTTGGAAAGCCCGATGTGCTTCCTCCTCCGACCGACTAAGCGACTTCTGTAAGTCCCTCTCGGCCGCTTCTTCATCTCTGGCCGCCTCATCTTCCTTCTCAATGGCCTTCACACGTTGAACTAAATCCGTGACATAGCCATCAGCACTGCCAAGCCCGAGACCCTCAAGTGCTTTCTCTAGTAGATAAAGATACTCGGTATTTTTCCCACTCTTGCCCCGTCCGCGACTAATCACCTCGGCAACATCTTGCGGCTCACGACGAGCTGGGTCACGCAGGAACTGCGGGTTGGTGGGTTGTCCGATATACACCATGCAGGTGATCGGTTTGGATTCCGATTCCGGGGCCTTGGATCCCAAGAACGGGTAGAATGGGGTGTAATGCACCGTGTACCCGTTAATCTCGCGTTCATCGAGGTAATCATGGACTTCTTCGGCGTGCGAGGCGGGAATGTGGTATGCTGCGCCCCAAACCCGAGCTGCTGATGACGATGATTCAAGGTGTGCAAGCTGCACGGTAGTGATGTGAGATGACAGGCCTAGTTACTTACACGGAATGACCGGTGTAGATGGGAATGGCCACATACCGGATCATTCAATGTCTCCCAAAACTCTCGTTCTATGACCGTTACTACTCGTCCGGGATTTTCCAGCGTTCCTCGATGGTCGGAGCTTAATAGAGTCAGCTTTTTAACTCGAAAATTGGCAATCGAATGCCTGTTTCAAGAGACTATAGCCCACCTAGCCTATACGCCACAAGCTTGAAGTTAGTCATGCTTAGTATGGAAGAAGTTATAGCGGAGAAAATGAGAAAAGTGCTGCATCTTCAAGCTTCACGGCGGAGGCTTCTATAGTTCAAGGGACGACAAACCTGCCAAAAGCGACGCACATAGCCGTTGACATAGCCCGGGACTCTTTGATCTAAACGAGGTCGCAGATCAGCTGAGGTCTGGGAGACCGGCAACCGTGCTGTGTCATTTGTCCTGGGCCAAGACCTGAATAAATAGTTCAAAGCCGGAGTGACGTACCATAATGCGGTGGTGGCTTCCAAATCAAGCTCCTTGGTAACATCAGCGTTTGTCCATTAAAAACTCTCGTGGGATCCCGAAGATCTTATTCTCCAAGACTGACGTTGGCTCACCCATATCCAAATACCCATAGATCACCGTCTGGGAAGTAACTGCGCCATGTTCGACCATCTGGAGAAGCATGGGTGTTTTCCTTACAAGAACCCATGTCCGTCTAATAGAGTCGGATCTTAACCGTCTGATCTATGGTTACAAGGCCTGTTCGTCTCTATAATGTATATAGATTTTGAGATGGAAATGGAAATGTGTAAAGAAGAAACAACCCCCGAAACAAGGCTTTGTTAGCAGTAGATATCCAAAATAGTTAGATGGCCCCTGGCTTCCTTCAACGCTACCAGTAAAATGTAGGGAAACGGCTATCCTCAGAGGTAATGTGCATTACTGAGCACCGCAAAGAATGTGCTGTACAATCCACCCCATGTGTTTGTACTGTTTGCTTGCAATCAATGTGGGATGATGAATGGCGGCGGAAGTTGATGTAACATTGGACCAATCAGTTCTGATAGCCTTCAAGCTGATGCCCCGCTGCACCCGACATTCTCCCCCGTCTCTTCTTGCTGCCTCAGGTTCTAATGAAACCCCCTGCTTATTGATCAAGGTCCTACTAGTACTAGTAATAGCTAGTGAAGAAAAGCATACTACAAGGTAATCTACACAGAATGGTGTAAGTCCTTTTCTATAAGGGCCGGGATTTCGTATAGTTGCTTCTTGATTGCATTGCTTTCGTGCAACTATTCAACAAATCATTTACTCCAACGTCCGTTCACAACTATCGCATTTTGTTTGTTCGTGGAAATATAGTTACTATGCTAGTTTACTTCGCCTTCTCCGGACACAATACACTCTCCCAGCCGACCCAACAGTCTCCTTTGCCGGCCAGACCGTGGTCTTAACTGGAGCCACGTCTGGCCTCGGTTTCGAAGCCGCCATCAAGCTTTTGAATTTAGGCGTGGAATCGCTTATAATTGGCAGTCGCAGCCTCGAACGAGGAGATGTAATCAAAACCGAGCTGGAAAAGCGCACCACCAGACAGGGAGTGATCCAAGTCTGGGAGCTGGATATGAACAGTTTTCAAAGTGTCAAAACCTTTGCGAGTCGCATTCAAAGGGAAATTAAGCAGCTGGACATCGCACTCCTCAATGCAGGTCTCTGCAATAGAGTGTATACCGCATCACCGGAGGGATGGGAAGAAACGTTGCAGGTTAACGCGTTATCCACTTCTCTATTGGCGCTTCTGCTCCTTCCGAAGCTGAGAGACAGCTCATCTGACTCGAACCCGGCGCACCTTGCTGTCGTTTCCAGCCAACAGTTTGTTCGAGTCAAGGCTACAAGCCTTCGGACGGAAGGACCGCTATTGGAGCATTTGAATGACCCACGACACTTTAGCGGCCCAAAGCAGTACGGCATCTCTAAGCTGCTGTTGGAGTACGCTCTGAAGACGGTGGCTGGTCGAGTACGGAATGAGAATGGAACTCTCCCTGTCATTGTAAATACAATAAGCCCGGGACTCTGTGTGTCGTCGCTTGGACGGCAGTACGATCGATTCTATGAGCGATGGTTTGTTTGGCTGTTCTATAAGCTCTTTGCTCGCACGGCAGAGCAAGGAAGTCGGTCGCTCGTGAGTGCCACATACCAGGGAGCGGAATCGCACGGGAAATGCTGGAGGAGTGACGGGTATCTGGAGTATGTTTCTTCTCCTTTTCCTTTCCTTTTCTTCTTCCCTTCTTTCATTTTTTTATTTCTTCGCTCTTCTGTCAGATTCAATTATTACATGCTAATAAGGACAGCGAATCTACCGCGCTGACAACGGGAACGGAAGGAAAGGAATTCCAGGTTAAGGCGTGGAAGGAAATCATTGAGATTCTTCAAGAGCAATCTCCAGAAATCAGGGAGTTGGTTGGGGAATGAATGATAATGTAATACTAAATTAGGCGAAGGAGCAAGTTAACCGAACCATACGGAGTAAATACTGTGGAAAAAGATAAATATAGATACAGACTCACATTAGCTCCACCGGGGACTGAGGAGAACCCGAGAGCCATACTCAATCAGGACAAACAAATGAATCAGAGGGTGGGATAGGGCTGAGGCGATTCTTTCTTTCAGAAAACCATCAGTTGATCCCATTTGGATACCCAAATTCCTCCCCGTTGGCTTGGTAATTCTTTCTCTGCCACCGCGTATTCGTATACTGATCGCCCCCCTTTGATTCAACATATTAAGACTCTTGGCAATCAGCTTTTCGAACCAGTGCCCCACGCGCTCCGCTTTTGACTGCGAAGAAGCATATGCTAACGCAAACACTAACTCCCTCCTGAAACTCCTGACCAAAATCCTTCTCTTATCTCTGCCTGATTTCCTCTTCCTCTTTGTTCAGTAGCTTTTCCGATCCACTATAAAAAGCGCGTTTCCCGCGTGAGGCCCCCCTCCCTAAACCTCATTTCCTTACCAACATCCGTTACGTCAGCCGGACAGGCATCGATAGACCACGCCATGGCGTACAACCAATCTTACAACCCAGATGCGTTGCCAGCGTAAGTTGAGATCGCAGATGGAGATTTTCAGGATGCGCCGTGTATCGCTAATGTTGCATAAAATGGACCAGACATGCAGAGCCCGAACAGGTACCGGTCGAGTGTTTTAGTGTCCCTGGTCGACCCCTCCATAACTGATGAAATAACCGCCAGGTAGCTCAGATGATCGGTGCGATGCAAACCGGCCCTCAGCATCATCAGCATCAGAGTAAACCCTCTCGACCGTCCCCCAACCCCTCTTCTAGTGGAGTACCGCCTCGCGTTCCCGTTACAACTGCGCACATGAACAAGCCATTGCCCGCACCGGCTGCAAGCCAACACCGGACTCATCCACTGCACCCATCACCGCCTCCACAGAACTATGGGTTTGGACCACCTCCTTCCCAGCCTGTGCGCAATCGGCCCCAGCCCTCGTCCCGGCCCCCACGGTCTCCAAACCGCCTCCGTTGTCTGTCCCTGATGACGATCCGCAACAGCTCTTCCCCTTGTTTCGCGCCGCCAACTCATCCCACACCGGTTCACTGACCGAGATGGAGCTGGGCTCCGCTTTGGTGAATGGCGATTTCACTTCGTTTCACCCTAAGACCGTGAAGATGATGATCCGCATGTTTGACCGCAATAGCACTGGAACGATCTCGTTCGACGAGTTTGTATCGCTATGGCGCTACCTTGCCGCGTGGCGGGAGCTTTTCGATCGATTCGATGTCGACCGTAGCGGGCGCATCAGCCTTCAGGAGTTCGAGAACGCACTCCTCGCATTCGGATACCGACTAAGCCAACCGTTTGTGACGGTGCTTTTCACCACGTTTGAAAGCAAGGGACGGCAGACGAATGGACCTGCTCACCCTGGGAAGATGGGAATGAGCTTCGACCTGTTTGTGCAGGCATGTATCAGTCTGAGACGTATGACAGACGTGTTCAAGCGGTATGACGATGACCGCGATGGTTACATTACTGTGAGCTTTGAGGAGTTCTTAACTGGTAAGGGACTTGCGGTGTTTCAATTTTTCCCTCGTTTCTTTGGTTTTTTTTTCCCTTCTACCTTGACCAGACACTGACGCAATGACTACAGAAATCCTGCAACTACAGGACTAGGCGGTGGATAAGGAGTTCTTGTGATTCTCTGCTTCTCTGCTTTTATTTTTTTTCTTTATTTTTTTTTCGTGTTATATTATTATACCCTGTTTATGGAGCATCATAATTCAAGCACCGGGCGATCCAGCAAAAAAGTGGTATACGAAGTGTATTCGGTGGACTTGCGAGCTGCCGACTCAAGGTAGGAATTGTGTTGTGTTAGGTTCAAGGCTGCATTGACCTGTACTATATTCTGCAGTGTCTGATGATATGAATACGGACCGGTTGGCAATTGATTTGGTAATGGATAGAAAAAACTCCCCTAAACCTTCTTGGGATGTATGTCATTTCTGTCCTTTATGTGGCAAGGAAAATTCTCCGACTTGCATACCATACAAAGAACTTTCTGTTAGAGGCAAGATAATAAATCAAAATTTAAGATTAGAATCTCTGACCCCCCAAAGAAAACACTACCCTTCATGTACATCTTAATCTCTGTTCTTTTGCATGCCTCGGCGAATCGGTCCTTGAAATCCTTTTAAGTCCGACAGACTCGGCATCTTCCGAAAGGCCGACAATTTAGTCAAAGTTATAGATACTTCGCATTTATAGGACAGAAGTCTCGACCACATCCTCGCTCCCTTTGGTTGGCTCCTTCACGCCGAAATGTCTTAGCGACCAGAGTTTTCCCTTTTCTCCTCGGTGTCCTGTGGCTTTTCTTTGCTCGTTCTGTATGTCGATCTTTTTTACTAACCCTGAGTCACTCGGTCTTAACGTCGGATCTGCCCGCCACAATAGATTGGGCGCATTCTTGGTCCCTTTCTCTCCAACGAGGCGTCCATATCCTCGCCTGTCAAGTCAAGTCAAGTCTGACCCAATCTCATTCTTGACGGGCCGTGCATTCTTGCATCGCGAAGAATGACGGCGCTTTCTAATCCCATTGATGACCGGGATCAGCAGGATACCCACCCGCCCAGCAATGGTCAGATTGTGACGGACGACAAAATAGCTCCGGCGGAGTTGAACCCCAGCTTGGCGGACACCGACACTTCGAATAACCATCGTCAATCTTCAGCGGAAAAGCATCCGGATGAGTCTAACGGTGATGGAACGTTGGAGAAAGTGGCAACTGGCGCTTCGCTGGGCCGAGTGCCTTCCCAGGCGCAGAAGCTGGGGAAGAAGAAGATTGTTGTTGTCATGGCGGCGCTTTGTGTAAGAGCAACCTTTTGTTTTTCTACTTCTCGGGTGCATCTTTGATCGAATATTGGCTAACCATGCTGAAACCTATAGTTGGTCCTGTTCCTAGCAGCTTTAGATATGGTAAGTGACCGGATCGCTGGCATATGTCGTCATAGTTCGGATGTTTACTGACTGGGACAGACAATCATTTCCACGGCCCTGCCAACAATGGCCTCTCATTTCAATGCATCAGAGAGTGGATATTCATGGATGGCTTCGTCGTATATGCTTGCTAATGCCGCTGCAGTGCCCCTCTGGGGTAAAATTAGTGATATCTGGGGCAGAAAACGGATTCTGTTGCTGGCCAATTTTGCTTTCCTCGTAGGTAGTTTGATCTGCGCGTTGGCTATTAATCTGCCGATGATTCTAGTGGGCAGAGCTATTCAAGGTGTTGGAGGCGGTGGTATCATCGTGCTGGTGAATATCTGTGTCTCTGATTTATTCAGTGTCCGGTAAGTCATGTCCTCTATATGATTTCTCCATTTTGATGGACGATTGTTAACTGATCTCTGTATTAGAGAACGGCCGATGTATTACGGTCTTTTTGGATCTACGTGGGCAATCGCAGGTGCCCTAGGTCCCATCGTTGGAGGCGCCTTCACCACCAACGTTACTTGGCGTTGGTGCTTCTATCTGAATTGTAAGGAAAGCAGCGGGCAGAAGACCGGACTATGCTAACATGTCTGAACAGTACCCATTGGAGGCGTTTCATTTGTTATCCTTGTTCTGTTCCTTAAGATTGAGGCTGAAAAAACTCCGCTTCTAGCTGGTCTAAAAGCCATTGATTGGACAGGTATCGTCTTGATCATGGGAGGAACACTCATGTTCTTGTTTGGCCTGGAGTACGGTGGCATCACTTACCCTTGGGACTCGGCCACCGTCATCTGTCTCATCGTCTTTGGAGTAGTGGCGTGGGCTATCGCATGGTGGTTGAATGGAAGGTCGCAAAATACCCCGTTATACCGATCCGTCTCTTCACGAATTGGCACAACGTCCTGGTCCTTCTTGTCTGCTTCTGCCACAGTTTCGTGTTTATCGCTGGCTCCTACTACCTCCCGCTCTATTTCCAGACTGTGCTCCTCGCCAACCCTATTATGAGCGGTGTCTACGTGCTTCCGAACGTTCTCGGCCTTTCCTTCACTTCCGCATGCACTGGCTTCATCATTAAAAAGACCGGCCGGTACCGCGAGCTTATCGTAGGTGGATTATTCTTCATGACTCTCGGCTACGGACTCCTCATTGACTTGAAATACTACGCCTCGTGGCCTCGTATTATCATCTACCAACTAATCGCCGGCTTTGGCTCCGGCCCCGTTTTCCAAGCGCCTCTCGTTGCCCTCCAGGCTAATATCCACCGTGGCGACGTCGCCGCCGGAACCTCTACGTTCGGCTTTCTTCGCCAAACCTCCGCCGCCATGTCCATCGTCCTCGGTACCGTCGTGTATCAAAATGTCCTCCACCAGCAAATGCCCAAGATCTCCGCCGCGATCGGGCCCGAGAAAGCCACCGCGCTCGCCTCCTCCTTCTCCGGCTCCCAGGGCGACCTCATCAAAGCGCTCCCAGAAGCCCAGAAGAACGTCGTCCTGAAAGCATACACCTTCACCCTGAGCCGGATGTGGATCTTCTACACGGCCATCATCGGCTTCGGGCTACTCGTCAGTCTACTCATCCGACCCGTCGTGCTCAGCAAGGCACACACCTTCACCAAGACGGGACTGGCGGAGCAAGAACGCGCAAGACAAGAGATCCTCGCCGCGCAAAGAGGCGAGACTCAGCCCGAATCCAAGGAGACCGTTTAAAAACCCCCTCCTCATTTCTTTTCTTCTACACCAATGGGTCACCCCTCCCCTCCCATAAGCATACACGCTACAGTCTACACGCATAATAGACCCTTCTCACTCTTCTTTCAACGCTGTCTTCCCCTCTACTCATAATAATTGAGTTTCTGATACTCCTGGCGGGTATTATGAGCATGTCAGACCGTGAAAAAAAAGTTTGCAGGTTTTCGCCTTTTGATTTATCTTAATGTCTTGCTATACCCAACTTCAACCGGGATGCTTACCAGCTGGCGTTGCTGAAATAGTGTATATTGGATTGAGCATGATGAATTGGAGTAAATACGTATATACACATACAGATTCAACGCAGAGAGTACTATCTAAAAGTTTTAATTAAGTTTGAAGAAAAGAAACTCGCTCCGCACATCTTTCACATGATATGGCCAATCCAACCATCATCCTCTTCTTACCTTACCTACACATACACCAGAGGCCGGAGATAAGTCTAGAAATGACATCACCGCTTAGCAATCAGAGCTTTCGGATAACCTTATTAAATTTCAATAGTTACACACGGTTTGCTTGTTCGGTGAGTAGTTAACTAGTTACACTATTTATACTAAGTAAGCTGCACATCCATCCTTGCATCCTGCAACTATAGTAGATTCAAGTAGGTACATATGAGGTCTACATGCACTTGGTTTTGTGCCAAGTCAAGTTGATGGATGTATCGCTGCTTACGTCAATGTATGTACATTGTTTGGGACTGGAAACTTAATCTGAACTTTATCGGCAATGACGTGCGTGTATGCCGGTTTAGGCAGTCGATCGTAGATTCAGTCCTGTGCAATTGGTACCGGGCTTTAGGTTTAACTCGGATGATCCACCGTGGAATGGATGGAGCAAGTCACTTAACTTTTCTTGGTCGTTCTACTGCAGTAGTATAAAAGCGACATGGTAGTGAACCCACCAGAGAATACACAATACCCCACTTGGCCGAAAGAAATATCGTGTTCAAGATTTTTATTCCTATTCAAACATCCTTATATACATTACCGAATTTAGAAAGATAAAAAGAAGGGAAAAAATGATACTGAAACGCCAGCCCCAAGTGATTATTGAAAGAAAGCCAAAGGTTGTTCTGTCCTGGTCAAGAGATGGGAAAGACGAGAGAGACTGAGAATCTCATGCGGAAAGAGCTTTTCGAAAACAAGCGCTTAAGGCGAGGTTGCCAATAAGATCCAACGGCAAAAGGAAGGGGTATAACAGTGGAAAGGAAGCGGAAGCCACGGCGAAAGTAGAGAGGACTGGAAAGGGGAAATAATATCCAATGAACAAAAGAGACGTATCCAACTCGCTCACCCGATTAGGTATTCATACCTTCCTTAACGCCACACGATGCCATAGTTGAGACAGTGAAAGAAAGAACAAGACCGCAATCATCAATCTAGACAACAAGGGAGGCTATGTCTTTGCCTTTTTCGGCGCTCCTTCCGCACTTGGGCCACTATCAGGGCTCTTGCGCTTCTTTTCTTGGTCGTCTTCTCGCGCAAAGCTGGGACCTGTTTGAACGGCGGGAGTGGGAAAGGTCAGAGGACTAGGAAGCATGTTACTGTCCGGACCAGACCGGCCAAACCCCCATTCAGGGAAGAAACTAGATGGAGAAGGAAGAAGCGCATCTGACACGAAGCGGCTAGGAAGTGCAGATATCGGCGTCTCTATGTTGTTGTTGTTGCTGCTGTTGTTGTTGCTGTTGTTGGTACTACTATATGCATTGTTATTCGGAGCAGCTGTGCTAGGGGGAGGTGGCCGGGCAAATGGATTCGGTGGTCCCTGAGCGCCTGCACTGAGAATTGCACCGGCAGAAGGTGAAGGCGGAGGTAACACTACACCGGAATGGTTGCTGTCCGGATTGGCTTTCGCTGGTGTAAGTGTCTTATTCCCTGCGGAATCGCGGGAGGATGAATCTGCTGTTGCGCTGCCCCGATCCGAATTCTCGCTGGGTATTTGCACCTTTAGCTGTGGACGTTTCGTATTTAGCTGACCGCTGTTCGTCCGAACCGGAGGCTTGATCTCAGGCACCGGCTGACGAGGCGCTTCAGTCGCGGCTCGTGGTGGAGGTGGAGGCGCCACTGGCTGGCTGAGTCCCTTTCTGTCCTTAGATTCGTTATGTGAAGATTCAAGCTTCACTTGTGAGTTCTCACTGCGCGGCGACGTAGGTGGACCGACTCCAAAGTGACGAGCCAAGACAGAACCACGATCATCAATCGGCGTGAAGATACTACGTGATTTTGATGATATCGACCTTTGCTGCGGCGGCGACTGACTGTCCTCTGCTTTCATCGGTCCAGGCATCTGGTCTGCTGGAGGGGCTTCGGGAAGCGATACCGTTCGCTGCTGCTGCTGTTGCGGGGGTTGCTGCTGCTGCTGCTGCTGTTGCTGTTGCTCCGACGGGAATGCGGGCGGCATGGAACTCCTTCCCTGTTCCGGCATAAATGCTTGGGCGACTTGGGACATTTGCGGATGGGGCGGTTGCGATAAACCCATTGGAGGTGTTTGCTGTGCAAGGATATGCGGATGCTGGGGATGCTGTTGAATATGCGGTGGTATTGCCTGGGGCGGCATTGTGTGCGGTGGCATGGATTGCGGCGGCATAGGCTGATGCTGATGCTGATGATGCGGGGCTGCATGATGTACGCCGTGCGGAGGGCCAAAGTGCGCAAACTGACCGGGTCGGGGTTGTTGACCTAAAGCATGGTGGGCATTCGGATTATATACGGAAGGGTTAGCCATATAGGCAAACCCATTCTGAGGTGGCGGTGGTGTGGCATGATGTTGCTGTGTACCGATATTCGAGCTGACTCTGCGAACGTGATTCCTGGATGATGGTCTTGAAAGTCCTTGAGGTTGAGGGGTACCGTGACGCGGATCAAACGGCAGTCCATTGCCAATGGGAGGGGACGCGGAAGGCGCATGATTAACATGTTGGAAGCCGGGATGACTGGGGAGATGAGTGGGTATCATCGGTGGGTTATTTTGCGGTGGTGTTGGATGCATTTCTTCAGGGGCAGGTGTGGTCTCGTCTTCATCGTCGTCGTCATCACGCCGGCCGTTGAAGTCCTCAGGGCCTTTATGCTCGTGTGGCGGGCCGAACTAAAGGCAAAGTATGCCATGTTAACAGGATGACTCGGCATCATATAGTTGGAGAGAGACGAACATATTGATAACGACCCAAGGTCTCGCGCATATCACATGATGAGAATTCATATAGCTTCTTGTTGTGACCGAATATAATGACAGCAACATCTACTGAACATAGCACCGCAAGCTCATGCGCCTTCTTAAAGAGACCACCCTTCCGTTTCAGAAAAGTACTAAAGACCAGGGAATCATGTTAGCTCTTTAAGTGGCACCCAGCGAGAAAGTATAGGAATGAGACCTACACTGAACGGTTGCGATCATCCTTGATCGCCTTGATCTCGATCTTTCGCCGACCCATGAGGGATACAGTGTGAGCGTATCACACAAGGGTAAAGGGCGTAGGTGAAACACCGAAGGTAGGATCAATAGCGAGTAGACGTGAAGTTATGCGTCTTTGTATGAATTAGTGGCGCGAGTTGAAACCCAGGGAAGCGCCCAAAAAGAAAAGGAAAAAGGAAAAAGGAATTCCAGAGCGCGGTGGAATAAACGACTGTGTTTGCTAGGCTCCTTTCTTAGATTTCCCCCCTTTAATTTTCTTTTTAATTTTAAAAGACAGGAAGATTAAAAAATTAATAACAAAAATAACGAAAGGCCGTAAACAAAACGTTTCAATCTCTTCCAAAAGAAGTGGGGACAAAGAAGAAGATGAGAAAGAATGCGAGGGTACAGATAGACAAGAGGGGTGAGATTGGCACAGCGCTATTTGGAGGGATGAACCAACGGAGCGCGTAAGGGCGACGGCGTCTTACCGGTCGGGGGAAGAAGAACAAGGGACCCCCTTATGCAGGCAGGGACTAGAGGTGGCAGAGGAACCTCAGGTCACCAAGGTGAAAACGAGAGACAGAACAACAGATAAGATGAGCCAAAGTCAATTCTGGGATGGGATACGAAGGATGGATGGATGAGAAAGGCTGGATGGTTGGAGCGGCGACACGCGGGTGATGCAGAAGATTCTAAAGATAGACATCGACTGTGGGAAACTTCTTAATCACTGGACCTGTCGGCGGCTACGGGCAGCCGCCGTTGGCGAGCTTCTAACCGCCGCCCGGGCTATTTATAGATCCGTTGCTGACTGCTCCATGAACCCCTACCACTAGGTAGTACATATACCGATCACTCCGCCTCCTTCTGATCCAGATTTTTGATCGATATCTCCTAGTCCCGATGAAACCCTAGTTCCCTCCTCGGACGCGCTGTTCTGGTCTATCACCATTCTCCATACAATCCAATGAGGTTCCTGTCCTACAGAGAGTAGAGTTACGGTTCCGGGTTTCACTAACCATGTCCATCCCACGTTGACAGCTCTAAGGGCAGCGTACCAGTAGCGATTTTATGAAAGTTGATTTTGTCCGCTCCGCTCTCATCATGCTGCACCTTATGATCGCCCCCCGCTACTAAGAAGGCCATATTGAGCTCGCATTGACCCTCTCAAAAGAAAGCCTAAAGACTAAGTAGTTAGACTAGCCGGTGGTGCCAGCTATGGGCTTGACCGCCTGCACAAGGATGGCTAGTTCAGCAGGCACCAAGGCTGTATGCCTAAGGCATACATTGTCTAGTTACCTACTAGTCCCGAAACTCGACACGGGGCCCAGACTTTTCAAATTTGCAGCCTGTCTTCGTCGGACTAGTAGGCGGTAAAGCGCCCGCTGCTTTATCGGGATGGTGGATAACGGACCTTTGGGAACTGGCAGAATTGCTGAACCCCTATCCCCCGTTGATTGGACCATCTTCCATGACCAGTCACGATGATCAACTCAATGAATTTGATCTGTCGCCTCGCATAGTATTCTGGTGTCCAGGCAAAATGCTAGACTTCGGCG